TGCAAGAACTGTCTGTGCCCACTGACCATTGACCTCTGACTACCTTGGAGGACTAGCTATGCAAGGGCCCACCACATAGTGCAAGACTTACTTCAGCAGGGCTCTGGTACCCACAGAGTCCACTCCTTGAGTATTTTGCTTGTGGAGGTAGTTGGATGGTGGCGCTTTGATGTGGTCTGAAGCTGTCCACTGGGTGTGCGGGCTCTGTGGCAAGGTTGGCCACTGCCTGTGTTTTACATGGGGCCCTGGACACAAGCTACAAAGCGATCTGCAGATGGCTGCTTCTTGTGCTGGGCTTGGAGGTGACCAGGCAAAGCCAAGCTGTGAAACAAGGCTGGCTGCTTCTAGTGCCAGGCCTAGGGCCACTTAGCGAGAGGTATGGGGCTTGCTGAGACCAGATGCTGCTTCTTTGAAAGAACCTACGAATCTCTGAAGCAGGAGCCAAGACAGACCAATCTTATGGTAAGGCCACTGGAAACAGCTTGGGTGGGCCTGAAAGTTGGGTGAAGCAGGGCCTCAGGGAATCACCAGGGTAGGGCAACCAGTGTGAGCCAGGTTGCTGGAGTCCCAGGTATGGCACCTGTCTGCCAGCCCTGTGGGTGAAGGGCTCACCAAAAGAACAGCAGCCTCCACCAGCATGTCTTTCTGGGAGAAAGCTGCCTCTCCAGCTCTTGACCGAATGCCAAACAACTCAGTTCTTCCCCATATATCTCTGGTGCCTTTTAAGCTGCCTCCTCCACACTGGAGCCTGGAAGGAGTGAGTCTGAGTAAGTCCATGTGCGGGCCCTTTAAGAGGAACTGCCTAGGTGTTTAGAAGCCTCAGCCTCCCTCAGCCTCAATTCCTGATTTTTACAGACATTAGTTAGGGGACTTCTCTTCCTGGCACTGGAACCCTGAGCTGGGGACCCTGGTGTGGGACGGGGACCCTTCACTCCTCAGAGAAGAACTTCACAGTTGAGGTTTCCCTCCTGATTTTTTATCTGCCACACGTGGGTATGGGACCAGCCGGTTCATACCTCTGCCCCTCCTACCAGTCTCACTGTTGTTTCTTCTTTAATTTTGTAGTTGTAGGACTTTAATTTATCTAGATTTCAGACAGTTCTGAATGATGGTTGTTCTGTAGTTTAGTTGTAATTTTGATGTGGTTGTGGGAGGAGGGGAGTATCATGTTTACCTGTGCCGCCATCTTGACCGAAGTCCCCGAGATCCATTATTTTTCATAGTCAACCAGCCTCTGCTATGGCCTCTTATTTTATATTCACTTATATGGAGAGAGTGAATTTGTGTATGAATCTTATATAACAATTTTTAGATATAACTTTCTGTTTGAAATACCAACCCCCGCCCCGCCCAAAATAACTCTAGTACTGATGTTCCATCTTTTCTCCAGCATCTCTCTGTCTAATCATGACATGTAGAGTACAATTACTGGTTGTGGTAGATCCACTTTTGTTGTTTTATATTAACACCATTCTAATAAGTTAGCATCCAGGGTGAGACTGAAGGTCTGGCTCAATCTAGGGCATGACTCAATTCTGGTGCTTTGTCTAAGTGTAAAAATCCCTGGTAAGTGCCCAAAAATATAACTTGAATATTGTAATACACATGGATCTCAATGGAGATACATGAAATTCTCATTTTATGAAAGACATGCATTTTCTAAGGCCTCACATATTATAAATATCACATCATTAGACCATTTACCATGTGTATCAGTCGAAGTTTTATTAGAGACAATAACCAGCAGGATTTATTCATTCACTCGTTCATTAAAAATTTTTTTCTCCTTTATTGATTTTAGAGAGAGAGGAAGGGAGAGGGAGAGAGAGATCGAAACATCAATAAGAGAGAACATCAATTGGTCACCTCCTGCATGTCCCCCACAGGGAATTTGGCCCACAACCTGGGCATGTGCCCTGCCAAGGAATTGAACCGGCGACCTCTTATTGCATGGGTCGATGTTCAACCACTGAGCCCCACCAGCTGGGCTCATTCATTTATTTATTTATACATTTATTATAAGGAATTTTCTTATACAACTGTGAGGGCTTGCTAGGCAAGTCTGAAATCTGTAGGGCAGGCCAACAGGCTGGAAACTCCTGGGCAAGAGCTGATGCTGCAGTCCACAGGGAGAATTTCTTTTTTCTCAGTGAAATCTGTTTTGCTTCTAAGATCTTTCAACTGATTGGATAAGGTCCATTCAAATTATAGAGGATAATATATTTTATTTAAGTCAACTGATTGTGAATGTTAGTCACATCTACAAAATACCTTCATAGCCAGACTGGTATGACTCAGTGGTTGAGTGTCGACCCGTGCACCTAGAGGTCACTGGTTTGATTCCTAGTCAGGGCACATGCCCAGGTTGTGGGCCAAACCCCAGCAGGGGACATGCAGGAGGTGGCCAATTGATGTTCTCTTTCATTAATGTTTCTATCTCTCTCTCTTTCTCTCTTCCTCTCTCTCTAAAATCAATAAAGAAAAGAAATTTAAAAACAAAACAAAATACTTTACAGCAACACTTAGTGTTTGATTGAATAACCAGATACTATAGCATAGTCAAGTTGACACTTAAAACTAACCACATCACAGGATTGACAAAGCCTGTATATAATTTTGATTACCAACTAAATTGCCACCACCCAGTAGCAGTAATGAAAGTTCATAATTCACTTAGCTTGCCAGCTTTGAAAATATGCAATCCTTTATTGCTTTTTTTAAAAATTGGGGGATTTTCAATATTTCATATTCTGTACATAAAATAAAAACTTTAGCCCTGGCAGGTTTGTCTCAGCAGTTAGAGCATCCACCTGCAGACCAAAGAGTTCCAGGTTTGATTCTGGCCAAGAACACGTACCTCAGTTGTGGTTCGTCCTCAGCCGTGATTGGGGTCCTGTGGGTAGCAACCACATCGATGTTTCTCTCACTCTCTCTCTGTCTCCCTCACATTCTGTCTGAAGATAAATGTAAAAAAATATATGTGTTGCCCTGGCTGGTTTGGCTCAGCGGTTAGAGCATCAGCCCACGGACCGGAGAGTCCTGGGTTTGGTTCCCGCTAAGGGCATGTACCTTGATTGCAGTTTGTCCCCGGCCCCAGTTGGGGTTGTATGGGTGGCAGCCAGTCGATGTGTCTCTCTCACATTGATGTTTCTCTCTCTCTTCCTCCCTCTCTCCCTTCCACTCTATATGAAGATTAATGTAAAAAATATCCTTGGGTGAGGAGATATATATATTTGGCTCTATCTGAATAAAAAATAGAAAAATGTCCTCAGGTGAGGATAAAAAAAACAACAACCTTATTTATTTTTATTTCATTTAAATAGAGTGGGAGGGAGAGAGGCGGAGACAAAGGTAGAGAGAAAGAGAGAAACATTGATTTGAGAGAGACATACCTATTGGTTGCCTCCTACACAACCCCTACTGGATGGCGATCAAACCTGAAACCAAGGTACCTGCTCTTTTTTTGTTGTTGTTCAGATAGAGCGGGAGGGGGAGAGAGAGAGAGAAACATCGACGTGAAAGGGACACATCGAGTGGCTGCCACCAGCATGACCCATCCAGGGCCAGGGACAAACTGCAACCGAGGCACGTGCCCCCAGCGGGAACCGAACCCAGGTCTCTTTGGACCACAGGCCGACGCTTCAACCGCTAAGCCAAACCGGCCAGGGCCCAAGGTACCTGCTCTTGATCAGGAATTGAACCTGTGACTCTTTGGTCTGGGGGCTGATGCTCAATGCTGAGCCAAACCAGCCAGCACAATAAAATCTTTACTATTAATAATATTATTAATATGTTCAAATCATGCTTCAAAATTATATACTTACAATGCACAGTACAAGCAATTCTTTTGTTGGTAGCTCTTACAATGTTGAGAGAATAGAAACTATGACTTTGTCTAATGTAATTATGTGGAGGCTCTTTCAGTTTTAGGCCTTTGTAGGAGAGGATCTTAGGTGTCTAGGTCTGTCTCAATTTCTCTCTTCAACCATCCTTTCAATATCCTAGTCCCATTTCCATTCTCCTCCCTTGAGGATCTATACTCCTCTGTGTAGGAAGAGACCTTTCCTTCCTTCCATTTCTTCTTGGATCTTGCAAACTTTAGTATCTCAGGTTTGACCAGACTTTGGGGACTGCAGAGGGAGAGGTGAGGTCTAGTCCAGGGGCAATGATGTGCACCAAATCTGGTTTAGTTTAGTTTTCCTCAAACGAACTAGTGACTTGATTTCCTCACCAGTACACCACTCCCAAATTAGCATTAATTTTACTCATTGATGACACATTCTCTCTCAAATGTGATTTCCCCCTCAGCATTATTTCATTAAGGAGAATTTGACTCCCTCCTGAATGTGGCTTGCAAGTATCATGACACTAGCTGGCACTTAGTCAGAAAAGATCAAGTACACCAATTCCAAATCTCTCTCCTAATAAAATTGGGAGGTTGGAGTTTGGGGTGCAAGAGTAGTTCTCAGTTCCTGCTATAGTAGATCTTTGACAAATGTTTGTTGAATTAAATATAATTGACTTTCCTTTATGTGGTGGGGAATTATGGACTGTCTTCGAACAGCGATTAAATGTCCATTCTGTGGCAATACAAGATTTAACTCCTCCAAATAAATAAACTTACATATTTCAAAATAGAACCTGCATACTTCCTAATGGATATAATGCTGGATGAAAGAAATGCATAATTAGTACTCAAATCGAAATCATTATTATTTGTAATGTAACATCATTATAACACCTGTTTCAGTACTCTGTGCATCAGTCATGCAGACTGATGTCTAAAATGGTGCCATTCTCGTCTTTTGTAAAAGGCAGTGAAGAGAGCACTAGCCTTTCAAAAGAAAAATTGGGTTACGTCTCTAAGATGCGGCCTGCAAGCCCCGCCCTAATACCTGAGCGGCTCCGCGTCCATCCTCGCTTAGGTGAGACTTAGTGAACCACATTTCCCAGCGGGCCCTGCAGGTCTCCCGCGCCTGCGCATGGCTGCAAAGGCGGCTGGAGGAACTCCCGCGCTATCCAGCCGCCTGGTCGCTCCTCGCCTGGTGTCTGACCCCGGCATGGAGGGGGTCCCAGTGCTGACGAGGGGCAACGCGGCCGCTGCCAAAGCGGAGGGAGCCGCCGCCTTGCCGCCCCCACCGCCCATCTCCCCTCCTGCCCTCACCCCGGCACCCGCGGCGGGTGAGGAGGGTCCGCCGTCCTTGCCCGAGGCGGGGGCTCCCGGCTGCTCGGGCTCCCGGCCCCCTGAGCTGGAGCCGGAGCGCAGCCTGAGCCGCTTGAGGGGCCGCTTTGAGGACGAGGACGAGGAGTTGGAGGATGATGAGGAGCTGGAGGAAGAGGAGGAGGAGGAGGAGGAAGAGATGAGCCACTTCTCGCTGCGGCTGGAGGGGTGCCGGCCGGAATCGGAGGATGAGGAAGAGGTATTTATAACCCCTGCTGACCACGCTGCGCCAGAGCGGCCTCCGGGACGCAGCCCGCCGCCTCAGTTCGGGCCGAGCCCCCGGCTCGCCGCCGCAGCCTTCGGCTCTGGCGTCGACCGCCACCCCTCCCCACCTTGCCTGCCTAAGCATGTGGCGCGGACTGGCCTTCTGTCCCGCCCGATTCCTTTAGTGCAACCTTATTTTGTGAGGTTCCTGCAGACCCCTTAGGTTCTCTCGGTCAGACTCGGCTCCCAGTCCGACTCGACTCGTTCAGTGAATAATTATCGAAGCTACCGCGTGCCCGGCGCCTACCCGCCGAGGATACCGCGCTCCTGCCACCCAGGAGCTTACAGTTTGCGTGTTGAGAGGATGGTAAACCGTTCCCCACTTCGTCGATCTCTTATTGGGAAGATTTTTTTTTTTAATGTGCTGGTGCATACTTCATCAAATTAGATAATAATACAGCTAGCCAGTCAGAATTACTATATTAAACTTAAGCACCAATATCTGGAAAGTTTGCTCTTTTTTTTTTTTTTAATCCTCACCCAAGGGCATTTTTTTTTTTTTTTTCATTTATCTTAAGATAGAGTGGGAGAAAGAGAGAAACATCCATGTGAGAGAGACACATCCACTGGTCGCTACCCACACGAACCCAAAGGCGGGGGGGGGGGGGGGGGATGCAACCGAGGTCCATGTCCTTAAGGGAACTGAACCCAGGACTTTCCGGTCCCTGGGCCAATGCTCTAACCGGCTGAGCCAAACTGGCCAGGGCGAGTTTGCTCATTTTTTAAGTAATTCATAAAGATGCCCCTCATTTGGCAATATACATATCCAAAAGAATGGAATATATTTGAAACATTGATTTATATCGTGTTACTGTAACTTCCAGTCTTATTTTGAAGTGCTAGAGGTATGTAACATGTTTTCATGTTGCAAAGTAAGTTACATACATATTGGTTATAATGAAATCATGGGGTTATGGTTTTCAAATTTAAGAAGGTAGGCCCTAGTTGGGGTAGCTCACCTGGTTACAGTGTCATCCTGATATGCCAAGGTTTTGAGTTAGATTTACGGTCAGGGCATGTACAAAAATCAATGAATGACCCTGGCCGGTTTGGCTCAGCGGTTAGAGCATCAGCCTTTGGTCCAGAGAGACCAGAGTTCGGTTCCCGCTAAGGGCATGTACCTCGGTTGCAGTTTGTCCCCAGCCCTGGTTGGGTCGAGCTGGAGGCAGCCACTCGATGTGTCCCTTTTACGTCGATGTTTCTCTCTCTCTCTCTCTTCCTCTCTCTCCCTTCCACTCTATCTGAACAAAAAATGGAAAAATGTGGAGTGAGGATTAAAAAAAAAAAAAAAAAGAATGAATGCATAAATAAGTGGAACAACAAATTGATATTTCTCTCTGTCTCCCCTCACCCCTCCTCCCTTTTCCTCTCTCTCTCAAATCAATAAAATATAATTTGAGATGGCAAGGTTTTGTATTTTAAAACTATTTCCATTGCATTTGCAGCGCCTGATTAATCTCTCTGAGCTGACCCCATACATCATGTGTTCCATTTGTAAAGGTTACTTAATAGATGCAACTACCATTACAGAATGTCTTCATACATGTAAGCATATAGTTCACATTTCTGAATAATATATTCAAATTTTGAAATGTCTCGAAAGCATCCTAATTTAAACATTTTCTTTTTCAACAGTTTGTAAAAGCTGCATTGTAAGACATTTTTACTATAGCAACAGATGTCCAAAATGCAATATAGTTGTACATCAGACACAACCTCTTTATAACATAAGGTAAGAAGGCTTTTAGTACAATTTATATTTTAAGTATACTTTTTCTGAAAGCTTGAAGTTGTGTTTTGGGAAATATATTCTTGACCTATCAAAATTAAAAGAAAGGGAACTACCTATTCTTTAAAGAAATACATATAGAGTACTTACTGTGTACCAGGCACTGTGATATCTGCTAGGGACTTAATTTAGAAAAAGAGGCACAGATCTTTTTTCCTGAAGATTTTAATTCCATCACTCAAGTTAATGAGGCCAGTTTAGGCTTGTCATTTTTAGTATATTTAGAATTCTATTTTCTAAAAGCAATACCTGAAACAACTGGCCTCTTTAGAATAGCCTGTCTGTTATAGGTCATTGTGGCTTATTAATCAGTTTTGTTTCATGCTCAGTTTCTTAAGGAAAGAAGAATATTAAACATGGATTGCTTTAATTTGTTCAGCAAATACTATTATGTTTTACTACCTTCATAGACCAGTGCTTTGCAGTTAATACACAGAAGTTCAAAATACAGTATCTGCCTTGAAGCTCACATTCTTATCAAGGAAATAAAAACAGCACACATGGAATAATTAAGCAAACCGTTGAAGAATCTCTGATTACTTATAGTTATGATTACATATAATTACTTGAGGTTCTCTTAGATGAGAGCCATGAGTGCTACCTAATAGTAACACACTTCTGAGAAAGGAGATATCCACTCCCAAGACAAAACAGTACTTATAAAGAGCTACATTCACTCTGTACTGAAATGCATTTTTCTGAATTCTGAGGTATTCTCCATCCTTTCCTTTTATTAGGTTGGACCGACAGTTACAAGACATAGTGTACAAATTAGTGATCAATCTAGAGGAAAGTAAGTTTATTTTATTACATAGTTGTGAATCCCAGAATCTCTGCTGACTCTACTAGTTACATTTTAAGTGTAATTTAGTCTGTGTTTTATCATTTTTTAGGAGAAAAAAAGCAAATGCATGATTTCTATAAAGAAAGAGGTCTAGAAGTACCTAAACCTGGTAAGTTTGGGTGTATACTATAATGTATTTGTAGATTAAAGAACACTAACAATAAAATGTACTCCCCTTAAGGTTTTTTTTGTTGTTTTTTTGTTTTTGTTTGTTTGTTTGTTTGTTTGTGATAGCTGGTTATTTTAAAGAGAGAGAAATATTTTATAGGTAATGATGTAGTGTAATCCAACCTAATTATTTATAAGAATTAAAGAGTACAAGCTCTGGAGCTGGATTGTCTGAGTTTGATCCTAGCTCTACCACTTTAGCTGTATGACTTTGGCAAATTACTTCAATGTCTCAGTTTCCTCAATACAAAGCACTTAAATCAGTGCCTGGAACATAGTAACTGCTCAAAGATTAGTTTTTATGATGATGGTAATGTCACAATATGGAAGTTAGATAGATTTGGGTTTAAATCCTGGTTCTTCCAATTACTATGTGTGTGACTTCAGGTAAATTGCCTAATCTCACTAAACTGGAATCAGTTTCTTTACATTTTTTTTTTTTTAAAGTAGCAGTAGTACCTGTGCCATAGGATTTTAACAAGGATTAAATGAGATGATGCATGTAGAGTGCTGAGTATAAACCCTGAACCCCCAGGTACATAATGCTTGTTAAGGATTATTTACAACTGTTGTTGCTGTTATGATGAACTCTTTCTGTGGCCCTGATAAACTAGCCACACATGTCTGCCTTCCACTGTGGATTGTTCCCCAGGCTTGCGTCTAATTTCACTGGCTGTGACAGATTAGCTGATGTTATTAAGGAAAAGAAGATTGAATGCTTTATGATCTTTTAAGTAGTCGATTTAGTTATAGTATCTGTGCAATTATTTTTCAAAGATCTCAATTTATGAAATTTTTATTCTAACTCAGCTTTTTTATTTGGCTAACAAATAGCTATTCCACAGACAGTCCCTTCAAGCAAAGGAAGATCTAAGAAAGCCTTAGAATCAGTGTTTCGGATTCCACCTGAACTTGATATGTCTTTATTACTGGAATTCATTGGGTGAGTACCCTAAACCTCTCTACTTCTTAATCTTAAAGAATGTTTTAAATCCTAACTGTTATGAAATCATCCTGAACTCAAGTAAAATAAATTTTTTCTGATTTCCTTTTAAAAATTATTTATGAAATATTTCAGACCTAGAAAAAGGTCTAATAACCACTTGTATCTCTACCATTTGACTTAAGAAATAAACCATACTAATATGGCAGAAGCCTTTTGGCTACATCTACCTGTTTACTCTTCCTTCCCTTGGAGTTTAATAATCACACTGCTAAAAGTAATGATTGTCATTCCCCTGCATTTTAAATATATTTACCACAGTGTATCTGTTCCTAAGCAATATGTAGAATTATTTTTGCCCATTTAAAAATTTGAAATGGTATCATACTTTGTTTTCCAACATTTTTGTACATTTATCCTTGCATATATGTGAGATAGTTTAATAGTGTATACAGATTTGCTGAGGCTTAGGATATGTTTGTCTTCAACTTTCTGGGTTTTGTCAAATTGATATCCAAAGTAGTTGGACATCTTTCTAATTCATATAAATTGCTTCATTCAAACACTGTAGCCTTAGCCTACATTATACTGCAACATTGTTATTGTTTTTAAGTTACTTTTTTTATTATTATTTCTTTATTGATTTTAGAGAGAGATAGAAACATCGATGTGAGAGGGACACATCGACTGGTTGCCTCCCGCACGACCCTGACCAGGGCTGGGGATGAACCGCAAACAAGGTATGTGCCCTTGACTGGAATCAAACCCGTGAGTCATTGGTCATTGGTCCATGGGCTGATGCTCTAACCGCTGAGCCAAACTGACCAGGACTGCAAAATGAAATGTCTTAAGTGAAAAAACAAGATGCAGAAAAAACTATATTACATGTGCTCATTTATGTTTTTATACAAAGGGTGGTAGAAAATATGTGTTTATACATTTTTTAAATTTTTATTTATTTATTTATTAATCCTCATCTGAGGATATTTTTCTATTTATCTTCAGATAGAGTGGGAGAGGGAGAGAGAGAGAAACATCGATGTGAGAGGGACACATCGACTGGTCGCCTCCTGCAGGGGACAAACTGCAACTGAGGTACATACCCTTGACCAGAATTGAAACCGTGACTCATTGGTCTGTGGTCCGATGCTCTACTGCTGAGCCAAACTGACCAGGGCTATACATGTTTTTTACATGAACAATGTTCCTGCAAGGACAGTAAGAAAATAATGGCAGTTGCTTCTAGAAAAGGGCACCAGAGTCTGAGTCTATGATGGAGAAAAGTTTTACTACTTTCTTTTCTTTTTTAAATGTTTTATTTATTGATTTTTAGAGAGAGAGGAAGGGAGAAGACGAAGAGAGAGAGAGAAACATTGATTTGTTGTTTTACTTATTTATGCATTCATTGGTTGATTCTTGTATGTGCTCTGACCAGGCATCAAACCCTCAACTTGACGTACTGGGACAGTGCTCTAACTAACTGAGCTACCTGGCCCAGGAAGGTTTTACTTTTCATTGTATTTGTATTTTTACTTTGTAACTTGATTTTTAATCAGTCTAATTAAATTTGAAAATTGAAAGGAATTTCTATTTCTAAAGTTATTTTGCGGAAATGTAATCTTTTCCACTAATGCACAATAGGTCCTGACAGTCTGTATTTTTATACCTTATTTATTTATTTATTTATTTATTTACTTAATCCTCACCTAAGGACATTTTTTGATATTTTGTTCATATAGAGAGGGAGGGAGAGAGAGAGAAATATCGACATGAAAGGGACACATCGAGTGGTTGCCACCCACACAACCCAAACAGGGCTGGGGACAAACTGCAACCGAGGTATGTGCCCTTAGTGGGAACCAAACCCGGGTCTCTCCGGACAGCAGGCTGACGCTCTAACCGCTGAGCAAAACTGACCAGGGCTTTTATTTATTTTTTATACCATTTTTTTTTTTTTTTTTTATCCTCACCCGAGGAAATTTTTCCATTTTTTGTTCAGGTAGAGTGGGAGGGAGAGAGAGGAACAGAGAGAGAGAAAGAGAAACATCGATGTGAAAGGGACACGTCGAGTGGCTGCCACCCGCACAACCGACCAGGGCCGGGGACAAACTGCAACCGAGGTACGCGCCCTTAGCGGGAACCGAACCCGGGTCTCTCAGGACCACAGGCCAACGCTCAAACCGGTCAGGGCTATTTTTTATACCATTTTTAAAAAGTAGCAGGGATTGCCTGGCTGGTATGGTTCATTAGTTGAGCATTGACCTGTGCACCAAGAGGTCACTGGTTCAATTTCCGGTCAAGGCACATGCCCAGGTTGTGGGCCAAATCCCCAGTTGGGGGCACGCAGGGGGCAGCCAGTTGATGTTCTCCCTAATCCATGTTTCTATCTCTCCCTTCCTCTCTCTCTAAAAAATCAATAAAAACGTAAAAATAGAAGAAAGTAGCAGGGATACACTTTTGAAAAGTAGTATTGCAAAGATGTCAAATATGTGATGGGTGTGCCACCATTATCTCTTTCTTTGTTCATAGAAGAAATCAGTAATTAAGCATGGCAACCTTTCCTAATAAGGGAGACTTGGCCACAGTGTTCAAGGCAGTCATTACCATTTGCTAAAGTTGTTACATTATTAATACATTCCCTGCTATAGAAGAAAAAGAGCCCTCACTTGGAATAAGGAGATCTAGATTTAAGTTCTAGCTCCTCTGTTATCTAGCTTTGTAAACTTAGACGAATTGCTTTTTGTTTATTCGCAAAATGTTTATTAAGCTCCTGCCATGTACCAGCATAGTACTCTACTAGCTGCTGTGAATGTAGTTTGAAAAAGTTAGCTATAATCCTTGCCCTCGTGGAACTTATAATTTCTCAGAGCTTCAGCATCCCTATCTGTAAAACAAGAGAATTGAACTTAGTGATTATTATGGGTAGTCTGTCTGCTTTTTATTATGTAGTCCTTTATCTGTTTTCAAATGATAAAGGGAAAGAAAGCTTTCAGTGCGGCAGGGAGTCCTTTTGATAGAGAGCTTCAGTTGGCAAAGAGTTGTTTTTTTTTTATCCTCAACTGGGGACATTTTTCGATATTTTGTTCAGATAGAGTGGGAGGGAGAGAGAGAGAGAAACATCGACATGAAAGGGACACATCGAGTGGTTGCCACCCAAACGACCTAGGGCCGGGAACAAACTGCAACCGAAGTACGCGCCCTTAGTGGGAACCGAAACCAGGTTTCTCCAGGCCGCAGGCCAATGCTCTAACCGCTGAGCCAAACCGGCCAGGGCAGCAAAGAGTTCTTTTGACGTCCCCAGTCCCCAGAATTAAATCCCCACATTTTCACTACATGGGAAAGCGTATGTGTTTCCACAGAAGTCATGCTACTGAGGGTAACCCATAGGAAGCTCTTTCAGGGCAGAGACCAGAGGCAGATGTTTTAACCTGATGTAAGTACAAGGGCAAATTTGGTCCAGCTGGTGACCCTTCCAGAATTGGAAAAGCAAAAAGCTGAGGTAGGTTCAACCTGTGGACAGTGACTTTTCAACCACTGGAACATGAAATTAGATTTCTCCCCTAAATTGGGTATGCATGTTTTGTGATCTTAAGGTAGTCTTGTACTTCTTTCTGCTCTTTGATTTCTGTGGTTAGAAGATTCTAAAAAGAAATAACCTTACACAGGCAGTATAGAATACATAGAGAGAGCATAGGCTTTGAAGAGTCTAACTCAAGGTTTGTAACCCTTGGGATATAGCTTAACTTCTCTGATCATCAGTTTTCATATTTCTAAATTGGGGATCATAAGAGCAATTCACAGGATTGTTGTACGAATCAACATGTGGTAGTCCTAACATGTCTAAACTATTAAACTCCATAAAGTGGTTGATTATAGTTGTGTAGTAATTAAAGACTATGGTAAAGAGTTTCAGGCCAGTAATATTGAGGAGTACTTCAAATGCAAGAAATGAACAAATAAACTTATTTTTTGTTTTTAAAAAATGTATCTTTTAAAGGTTACTATAGAGAAAAAATTAATTAGTTATGATAGAATAAAAAGCAAAAAGAAGTTTTACTTTAAGCTGGAAAATGTTAGAATGCTATGTTTGGGGAAATCTAACTATTAAGAATATCCTGAAAAGTTAAGAAGATTCTCATAAGTAACCATGACTTCCCCAAAGCCATCGGTGCACCATGCAAAGCTTCATTACCTGCCAGATCCAGTGCAAGAACATGTAATAAGACAGTTTTGATATGCCCAAACCTTACAACTTTAATACTTCTGAAATTGGAAACTCCTACCCCAAGAAACTGTTGCATTGTCTAACAGCACAGATCATGGAATGATTTTTACAATGAAAGGCAAAAAACAATGTCCTTTTAACTCCTAGAAGTATATACAGTAGTATGAAATGCTACTTTTCCTTATCACTAGGTGGCAGAAATGACAATTAACTGCATTTATTTCCTAAAGGGTTAGATGACCATGGTTTAAAATTAAATTGATGTTCCTCAAATGTTTATATTCATGTTATTTTTCTGTGTTATGTGATTAAACATAAAATTTAAACTATATTGTTGGTTAATTTTGCTTTCATATTTTAGTGCTAATGAAGGCACGGGACATTTTAAGGTATTTTATTTTTATTTTTTCATTTATTTTACAAGAGACCCTGTAACAAAAATTTAAGAATCATATTACCAATCATATGGAGATTATCTTCAATTACAATAGAGTGTTTTACAAGTAAAAGTTGTTGACATATGAAGTACATTCAATAATGCTCTCTTACAATATGTTTATGAAAAAATAGTTATTAAGTAGGGATTTGTTACTCAGAACAGTAGTCTAAGGAAGAATAAGTGAGTAACTTTTAAAAGTCTAAAGCTAAATGCTGTGTTAATTTGGTGATAAAAAAAAAAATGTTTTAAAACATTTTTTGCATAGTTGGCATATAGAGTTAAACATGAGCTTAAAATTTTATTGGCATGTAACATTTTTAGCTCAAGTTAACCTGTCCCAACTTGTTACTTGGCAAGCTTATTGTTTTTTAAAATTCTGTATTTATAATGGAGTTCTACTTATAGATTTTTATAATTATTCCTCAATATTCTCTACTACTTAAAAAGCTATATTTATATTGTCCTGGCCGGTTTGGCTCAGCAGTTGGAGCATTGGCCTGTGGACCAGAGTCCCGGGTTCGGTTCCCGCTAGGGGCACGTACCAAGAAAAAAAAAGCTCTTGCCCTGGCCGGTTTGGCTCAGCAGTTGGAGTGTTGGCCTGCGGTACAGAGAGACCCGGGTTCGGTTCCCGCTAAGGGCATGTGCCTTGGTTGCAGTTTGTCCCCGGCCCTGGTTGGTAGTGCGGGTGGCAGCCACTTGATGTGTCCCTTCACATTGATGTTTCTCTCTCTCTCTCTCTCCCCCTCCCGCTCTGTCTGAACAAAGAGTGGAAGAATGTCCTCGGGTGAAGATAAAAAAAAAGCAAAAAGAAAAAAAAAAAGCTGTATTTATACCTTATCTTTGAGTTCAAATAAATGTGTCTGACTAGAATGATTCCTGGTTGTTAAGCTTTTCACCATGTAGGTCGGTAGCATGAAAATTATAAACCCTATTTGTTCAATTTAAAAGCATTTCACAAAGCAGTAATTCAGTCTGAAAAAGTTTTAAAACTTTTAATTATGAAAAATTTTAAGCATACTAAAAGGTAGGCAAAATAGAACCTTCATGTATTCATCACCTGGCTTTACCAATAAACTAATGGCCATTTAATATTTTTGGTTTTTTTTTTTGTTTTGTTTTTAAATCCTTACCCAAGGGTTCTTTTTCCATTTATCTTCAGATAGAGTGGGAGGGAAAAAAGGAGGGAGGGAGGGAGAGAGAGAGATACATCCATTAGTTGCCTCCCGCATGACCCTGACCAGGACCTAGGGCCCACGGCCCAGGACTGAACTGCAACCAAAGTATGAGCCCTTGACCAGAATCGAACCCACAACTCTTTGGTCCACAGGCCAGTACTCTAACCGCTGAGCCAAACCGGCCAGGGCAACTAATAGACATTTATTATTTTTTTATTTTATTTATTTTTTCTTATTGATTTTAGAGTGAGAGGAAGGGAGAGGGAAAGAGAGATAGAAACATCGATGAGAGAGACCATCTATTGGCCGCCTCTTGCATGCCCCCCACTGGGGATCGGGCCCACAACCTGGGCATATGCCCTGACCGGGAATCGAACTGTTGACCTCTTGGTACATGGGTTGACACTCAACCAGTAAGCACACCAGCCGGGCCATTAGCAATAACTCTTAAATGCTTTCTGTGTGCTAGGAATTGTTATTTACATACATTATATCACTTTCCTCATGATAATTCTATGAGGTAGATGCCATTATCCCTATCTTACAAATGGGACATGGAGACACAGAAAGGTTCACCAACTTACCCAGAGACTTGCTGCTATAAAATGACAGAACCAGGGTTTATTTTATTTTTTTTACTCTTCACCCGAGGATAATTTTCTATTTATCTTCAGATAGAGTGGGAGGGATGGGGAGAGAGAGAGGATGAGGAGAGAAAAAGAAACATCGATGTGAGAGAGATACATTGACTGGTTGCCTCCCGCATGACCCCAACCAGGGCTGGGGCTGGAACCTGCAGCCCAGATACATGCCCTTGACTAGAATCGAACCCAAGACCCTTTGGTCTGAGGATCAACGCTTTAACTGCTGAGCCAAACTCACCAGGGCTAAACCAGTAAGCCTTTCTATTAAAAAATTGTTAACATACTTTTTAGAAAGAGAAAACTAAGCAGCAAAATAGTTTTTCTTTGATAGCTAAACTAATTCAAATTTTATAGTAATTTTTCATAAATCTGTTGAATCATCTTTGCTATAAAATTGCTTTAGGGTTTATATATTTTATGTATATTTAATCTGAAAATATTTCTTCATTCATTTGTTTATTTTTTGTAGCCATTGGAAAAGAAGTTTGTCCGAGTTTCAGGAGAAGCAACTATTGGGCATGTAGAAAAATTTCTCAGAAGAAAAATGGATCTTGATCCAGCTTGTCAGGTAGAGTACATGTCTGTAAAAGGGCAGGTAAAATTGGGAGATTACCTTTAGAAAGAATTGCCTCTGGGATTTCATGCAGTAGCTTTTGTCTTAATGATATTATAGATGTTGTATATGGCAGTTGATATTGATATACAGTGATTCCCACTCCAACTTCAGTCATATTTGGCTTACTGTCTGTTTCTCCCTGCTATTGATGAGACACCTAGAAAAGTGAAATATCTATCTAATATAGACCCGATTCGTTTTGTAAGGATGAAAAGTATCTCCCATTCTAAGTATATAATATTTTCTTGTTGTTGTAAGATGAAAATCTCAATCCTCATGTATTTTTTAATATAAGTTGTAAGTATATTCACAGGTCTAATAATGCAGGTCACTGAAAATGTACCTTTATATAGTTTTGCTTTTTCATTAGTCAAATTTAAAAGGGATTTAAAACAATTTTTTTCATCAAGTGTAAAATTTCATAGGGTGGTTTTTATTTAAAATGTCTATTTGCTGTTTAGTAAATTAATAGATATTTTAAAGCTGGCTGAAATTTTACTGGTGTTTTTAGTACCGATATCTTTTGGTACTAAATATATATGAAATATCTATTAAGAACAATAAAATGTACCTTCTCTTACTGAATTTGACATAATGCTGGCTGTATCGTCTGGCATCTGAAAGTAGAAATGACTTATGTGTTCCCTTATAGCTATAACTTATTTGAGGTTATATTTAGTCTTTTGTTCAGAAATAGATAACTATTTAGAGACTCCTGGGCAAAGAATTGTGAGTGATTTTATAACATTTTATTATTTCTAAAAGCAGAAGTCACAAGCCCTGAACCTGATTTTATAGAATAACTAACATAGCACCTCAAAGGACTTTTTCTAGGATTATAGATGATGTCTTCTGGCTAGATATTGATCAGAGCACTATTACTATTTATAAGTTTCACATTTGTGTTTTAAGAAGTTGGTTACCAAAGCTCTTAATTGGTTATATTGTTTAAAAATGTGGGTTTATTTTTACCTCATATCATAAAATTCAAGGCTTTTGGCATTTTGAAATAAAATGATAGAAAATTTGTTACAGGCCCTGGCCAGTTTGGTTCAGCAGTTGGAGCGTTGGCCTGCGGACCAGAGAGTTCCGGGTTCAGTTCCCGCTAGGGGCACGTACCCCCAAAAAAGAAAATTTGTTACAACCTTTAATTTTCTTTGTCAACTCTTGGCTCTGTAGATGAATTTCTTTCCTACCCGGGTACTATATAGCTGGTGACATTCATAAATTACTGTTTCACCAAAATTTTAAAATAATAGAACAGAATTATCCAATATGCAGACCTATTAATTTGTGCCTAACATTATTAAACCTTCTAAATACAAGAGAAATTTTAAAAATTACTTCTGGTTTGAGCAAAACATTGAGCTAGTTAATCATTAATCAAAATAAAATTCTTGGTGAACCCAGTCATTTGAGCCTGCTATGCTGACCTTCTTTAAACCAGTTGGTCGCAGGTAGGAAATGTGTGCTTTGTTTACATGACCTTCATATATGGTTATTTACTAGCAGGAATGAATGATTACTAGAGGACTGTTAAATGATGAACTACCTTTAAAGTTATTTGTGGCAGATCAAAATAAAAAAGGAAGACAGTGCCCTGGCTAGTGTGGCTCAGTTGGTTGGGCATCCTCCTGTGCACTGGAGGGTTGCTGGTTCGATTCCAGTAAGGGGCGTACAGGAGGCAGCTGATCCCTGTTCCACTCTCACATTGATGTTTCTCCTCTCTCTCCCTTCCGCTCTCTAAAAATCAATAAAAATAAAAGTTAAAAAAAAAAAAAACATAAAAAAGGGAAGACAGTAATGAAAGATAAAAAATACAGATTATGTGTTCTTAAAAGAGATTTAAGTTAGTTCAAAATCAGAAATCAATAATTATCTGAATAAATTTCTTTCACATAGAGACCCCAGTGCTTGTGAATTACCCTGTTTGATTTATTGGTACTTTGAACTCATTGATGTCCTAATGTATTTTGTTTTATTGTTATTCTTGTGTTCTTTTGTACATTGATCTTCAGACCTTATTTTGCTTGTATGAAGTAAGATTTAAAAAATATATATCACATTAATCACTAAAAATTCTTTATATAAAAGATGTGATATTACATTTGTTGTTAATCCTACCATCCTACCATAATTAATTCCATCTTAAAAGATATTTTCTTTTTACTGTTATTATTTTTTAGCATGACCTTAACCCTACTATTAAATTGTCTTCAAATCATTTTTAATGTATATATTTTTTATTACTGATTAAAAAAATTTTGTTTTAAATTTTCTTTATTGATTTTAGAGAGAGAGGAAGGGAGAGGGAGAGAGAGATAGAAACATCAATGAGAGAGAACATCGATTGGTCACCTTCTACGTGCCCCCATTGGGGATTTGGCCCACAACCTGGGCATGTGCCCCAACTGGGAATCGAACCCGTGACCTCTTAGTGCATGGATCAACACTCAACCACTGAGCCACATAGGCCGGGCAATGTTGGAAGTTCTAAGGTGATCTTGCTTTTAAGAAGATAAGGGTTGCCCTGGCTGGTTAGAGCGTGCGGACCAAAGGGTTGTGGGTTCAATTCTCAGTCAAGGGCATGTACCTGGGTTGCAGGTTTGATCCCTGGCCCCTGTCAGAGTTGTGTGGGAGGCAACCAATCAATGTGTCTCTCATATTGATGTTTTTCTCTTTCCCTCCCTCCTTCCCTTCTACTCTCCCTTCCTCTGTCTCTCTAATATATCAATAAAGAAAAAAAATTTTTTAAAATAAAAATCAGTGGAAAAATATCCTTGGGTGAAGATTAACAACAACAACAAAATAGAGAATTGTAGAACAATAATACTATATGTGACATAATCCAATTAAAATTCTGCGTGCACGCGTAGCATCTAGGACCATACATGTCGAACTGTTAGTAACTGTCCAACCTTTGGGAGTTAAGATTAAGCTGAAAAGAAAAATGTAGTAAACAAATCATGAATGTTGCTGAAGCCTGCTAAGAGTGATGGTCTCTGCATTGCTGAATAGTTAATAAAAAGATAATGATAGTTTCCAAATTCTTTGGTTTTTCATGAATCTGTGTGCAAGATCTATCATTGCTTTCAAGTCATTTTGCAAGCAAGTATTGCTCTGCCTGTTTTAAAACTGGTACGCATAAAGCACAAGGTTGTTGTTGATAAGAGATTGTGCATTATGAGATACCATAGAGGTTGACAAACTATGACCCATGGGCCAAATCTAGCCTGTTTATATACATAAAGTTTTATTGGAACACAGCCATACTATGGCTATAATGGCAGAATTGAGTAGATGTGACAGAGATGCTATGGCTCACAAAGCCTAAAATATTTATTTATTTTATTTTATTTTTTCCTCACCCGAGGCCATTTTTGCACTTATCTTCAGATAGAGCTGGAGGGAGAGAGGGAGGAAGAGAGAGAGAGAAACATTGACGTGAGAGAGACACATTGAGTGGTTGCCACCCATACAACATCAACCGGGGCCGGGGACAAACTGCAACATAGGCACGGGCCCTCAGTGGGAACTGAACCCAGGATTCTCTGGTCCGCTCTAACTGCTGAGCCAAACTGGCCAGGGCCTAAAATATTTGTTATATATCCCTTTACAGATAGTTTGTTGATCCCTGATATGCACTTAGGCTTTGGGGAAGGATAGACCTTGGGACAGACCTGGGTTCAGATCTGGATTTTGCTATTCACTGGCTTTATGACCTTTGGAAAGTTTAATACCTTTACCTCTTAGTATTCCTGTCTGTAAAATGGGAATTATAATACCTAGCTCACAGGAATTTCAAGATTAGATGAGATAACATGTCAAATACATAGTATAACATAAGGTATACATAATGGCTGCTCAGTTAAATGCAACTGCTTTTGATATTCTTCCCCAACCATACTGAAGGTTTTAGGGAAATTAACATGTTGACAGTATATAGGATTTTTAGAGTAAACAGAATTTGAAGGTAGGAAATCTGCTTAGAAGGTGGTTTAAGACTAGGGACAGCATTTCTTTTTTTTTTTTATCCTCACCCGAGGACATTTTTCCATTTTTTGTTCAGATAGAGCGGGAGGGAGAGAGAGAGGAAGAGAGAGAGAGAGAGACATCGATGTGAAGGGACACATCGAGTGGCTGCCACCCGCACGACCAACCAGGGCCGGGGACAAACTGCAACCAAGGTACATGCCCTTAGCGGGAACCGAACCCGGGTCTCTCAGGACCGCAGGCCGCAGCTTTAACCGCTGAGCCAAACTGGCCAGGGCAGGGACAGCATTTCAAAGGATATAAACTTAAGAGGTATAATGACCTAAGAAGCAACGGGACATGGTAACTGATTACATGTGAGAAAAAAAGAAAAGGAAAACTCAGAGTCAGAGGTGATATTCTGCTTTAGAAGACAAGAAGAAATTTTATGCCATACACTAAATAAGGACATTAGGAGATGGAGCAAATTCAGGGATACATAGTAATAAGACTGTTGAGGACCTGATTTCATTTTAAGGCAATGGGAAAGGAGCACTTAATGAAAGAGAGAGAGAGTAAAAATTTGCTATTCTATCTTAACAAGTAAGTATACTGGAATCTTAATACATTATACTATATAACTGTATACCGATATCATTCTTTCTAGAGCATTCTATATAAAAGTAGATTTTCTTAGAGCTTTGACATTACTAAAGGGCTGAAAAGACCTTTCCATCCATAAAATAGTTCCCTTAGTGTGTACTTTATGTCACTGTTAGACTTTCCACTTGGAAAATGAGATACACCTTGTAAGAGAATTATTCAAATAAATAAGGATTACCTTTTTTAAGCATTAATATCCTTTTAATTATTATTATTACTCTTTTTTAATCCTCACCTGAGGACATTTTTCCATTTTTTGTTCAGACAGAGTGGGAGGGAGAGAGAGAGCAACATCGACGTGAAAGGGACACATCAAGTAGCTGCCACCCGCACGACCCAGCCAGGGCCGGGGACAACTGCCACCGAGGTACTTGCCCTTAGTGGGAACCGAACCCGAGTCTCTCTGGACCGCAGGCCGACGCTCTAACTGCTGAGACAAACTGACCAGGGCTAATTATTTTATCTTAGAACTTTTTAAAAATATACATTTCTGCCCAGCCTGTGTGGCTCAGTGGTTGAGTGTCGATCCATGCACCAAGAGGTTGTCAGTTCAATTCCCCTTCAGGGCACATGCCCAGGTTGTGGGCCAAATCCCCAGTGGGTGGCATGCAGGAGGCGACCAATAAATGTTCTCTCTAATCGATTATTCCATCTCTCCCTACTTCTTACTTCCTCTCTCTTTAAAATGAATAAAGAAAAAAAAATTTTTTAAATATATACATTTCTGCACCTTCTTATGCTAAATACATCAAATGTGATTTAACTTGTTCTCAGAAATTCAAGGAAATCATTTTGAATATTGACTGTACTATGCTGTTGTCCTGCTATGTCCTCTAATGCTCTTTCCATTTTACTTTACTCTCATAAAAACTTTCCAAAATCTTTCTTGAGACTGTTTAATCCATCTAAAATAAAACAGCAAAGTGTAGTCTGAACATAATTATGTTGATTTTTCTTAATTTTTTCATAATGGTTTTTTGAAGCAGTAAAGCGTCTAACATTTTGTTTATTTGTAGGTAGATATCATCTGTGGTGATCACTTGTTGGAGCGGTATCAAACTCTAAGGGAAATTCGACATGCAATAGGTGATGCAGCAATGCAGGTAGGTCTTAGACTTTATCATACTTAGTATCTAATAGGCAAATTATTTGATGAAAGAAAAAAGTTCCATGTTATCAATAAAATTTTATTTTTATTTATTTTAATCCTCACCAGAGGATGTTTTTCCACTGATTTTTAGATAGAGTGGAAGGGAGCGAGGGGGAGAAACAGAGAGAGAAACATCGATGTGAGAGAGACACATCGATGTGAGAGAGATGCATCAACTGCTTGCCTCCCACACGACCCCAAGTAGGCTAGGGATCGAACCTGCAACCCAGGTACATGCCCTTGACTGGAATCAAACCCGAGACCCTTCAGTCTGCAGTCCAACACTCTAACCACTGAGCCAAATCAGCCAGGGCTATCAATAAAATTTTAATAAATATTCTACAACTTTCTTAAAATTACCTGGACTGTAAGTAATAAAGCTAATATTTATTGAATGCTTACTGTGTGTTAAGCACTTTTCTAAATGGCTTATATGGATTAGCTCTTTTATTCCTCATAATTCGATGGTGTAGGTATTCTTTTATTCCTCATTTAATTTTTTTAATAAAATATAATTATTATATACATTACTTTCAGGTGTACAACGTAGTTATTCAGTTATTCCCCATTTTATTTTATTTTTTTATATATACTTTGTTAATTCTCACCTGAGGATTTTTTTTTCTTTATTGATTTTTATAGAGAGAGGAAGGGCGAGGGAGAAAGAGAAACATCGAGAGGGAACATCAATTGGCCACCTCCTGCATGCCCCCCACTGGGGATCAGGCCTACCTCCTGGGCATGTGCCTTGACCGGGAATCAAACCAGTGACCTCTTATTGCATGGGTTGATGCTCAGCCACTGAGCCACACTGACTGGGCTCACCCGAGGATATTTTCTATTGACTTTTAAGGAGGTAAGGAGAGAGAGAGAAACATTGTTGTGAGAGAGGCATACCGGTTGGCTACCTCCCGAACAACCCTGACTGGTGCCGGGGACTATATCTGCAACCCAGGTACATGCCCTTGATCAGGAGTCGAACCCATCACCTTCGGTCTGAGGGCCAATGCTCTAACCACTGAGCAAAACTAGCCAGGGTAATTATCCCCCATTTTAAAGAGAAGGAAGCAAGTTACAGAAAGGACGTGTAATAACTTGCTCACAGTAAGTTAGTGGGTGAGCCACAGCTCAAACCGCAGGCAGTTTGACTCTAGAGGCCTTGCTCTTTTTTCTGTCTAATACTACCATAGAACTTTGAAGACCACTGAGCAAATATACCTGTAAAGACATTTTTGTAAGAAAAATTTGCAGATTCTGCTTTAGAGATTCACATACCATTTCTTGTTTAATAGGTAAAAAGTCATGGTGTAACTATTTTGATGTTTTAATTAGCCTATAATGTGAGTGGGAATATAATGTGAGATAACCTAGAGTCAGGATAAATGAGGAGTTAGATAGGATCTACAATTTTATTTTTATTTTTTTTCTTTATTGATTTTAAAGAGAGAGGAAGGAAGAGAGAAATAGAAATATTGATGAGAGAGAACATCGATTGGCTGCATCCTGCATGCTCCCTCTGGGGATTGGGCCCACAACCTGGGCATGTGCCCTGACCAGAAATCGAACCGGCGACCTCTTGGTGCATGGCTTGACACTCAACCACTGAACCACAAAGCCGGGCTGGGATCTACAATTTTAATGAAGAAAAAAGCAAGACCCACATATTCTAATGTATTACTAAACCTAGAGTGATGAATTGTTTTAAGAGCTGTATGGCTCTGAGAAGCTTATAAAGTACTAGTGAAGACTGATGAGCAGCTCTCAGCTTAAACAAACAACAATTTTGTTTAATTTGTTAGAAATATAATTATTTGCTTTGATGTGATTGCCTATGCTCAGTGAACAACTACTGAAAATAAGATGCAGAATATTCTAAGAATATCTTCTTAGTGTGAATTATAGAGTTCCTGGGAAGAAGCAGAATGAATACACACAAACACTGTTTTTTATCCTCACTCGATGACATTTTTTGTACAGATAGAGCGGGAGGGAGGGAGAGAGAGAGAGAAAGAGAGAGAAACATCGACGTGAAAGGGACACATCAAGTGGCTGCCACCCGCAGGATCCAACCAGGGATGTGGACAAACTGCAACCGAGGTACGTTCCCTTAGCGGGAACCGAACTCAGTCTCTCTGGACCGCAGGCAACACTCTAACCATTGAGCAAAACCAGCCAGGGCCAGGCAAACACTCTTTAAATGCATACACACACATACAGTGGTGGGCAAAAGTAGGTTTACAGTTGTTTGTCTGTCACAATGGCACAGTGCCTGTAGGTACAATTTCTTAAGTGTTCAAATTGCCAGCCTTCATTATTTACACATTCTTGTAGTCTTTTTGCTATATTCAGGCACACTGTGGCACAGAGTTTTGTGTTTTTTTGTTTTTTTTTTAATCTTCACTGGATATTTTTTCATTCATCTTCAGATAGAATGTGAGGGAGAGAGAGAGAGAAACATCAATGCAAGAGAGACATATTGATTGGTTGCTTCCTGTATGACCTTGCCAGGGCCAGGGACTGAACTGCAACCCAGGTATGTGCCCTGGACCAGAATTGAACCCGTGACTCTTCGGTCCACGGGCTGACACTCTAACTGCTAAGCCAAACTACCCAGGGCCAGAGTTCTTTGTAAACCTAATTTTGCCCACTCCTGTATATATTTTAATGATATAAAATGAAATGCATGGATTTTGGCAAAGACATACCTGTTTTAACACAAACTCCTTCTTGAGATTTGGAACACTACTGTCACCCCCAGAGAGTTCTTGCCTTTTTTTTTTAAGTAACAGATTTATTGAGATATAATTAATATGCTGCCATGTAACTCACTCATTTAAAGTATACAGTTCAGTAATTTTTAATATATTTACAGAGTCGTGAAACCATCACTCAATTTTAGAACATTTTTGCCTTTTTTTTCTTTATTGATTTTAGAGAGAGAGGAAGGGAGAGAGAGAAACATCAATGAGAGAGAACATTGATTGGCCATCTCCTGCAGGCCCCCCACTGAGGATTTGGCCCACAACCGGGGCACGTGCCCTGACCCGGAATCAAACTGGCGACCTCTTTTTTTTTTTAATTTTTGTTCCTTTATTGTTTTTACAGAGCGAGGAAGTGAGTGGGAGAGAGAGATAGAAACATCGATGAGAGAGAACATCGATTGGCTGCCTCCTGCATGCCCCCCACCAGGTATTAAGCCCACAACCTGGCCATGTGTCCTGACCGGGAATCGATGTTCTTGGTGCATGGGACGATGTTCAACCACTGAGCCACACCAGATAGGCAATTTTAAAACATTTTTATCACCCAAAAAAGAAACTCCATACCTATTAGTACCCTTCCTCTAGCTTTCATTAACCACTACTCTGCTTTTCATCTCTGGATTTCTATTCAGGACATTTCATATAAATGGAATCATACAATATGTGGTCTTTTGTGACTGACTTCTTTTACTTAGTATGTTTCCAATTTTTATGTTTTAGCATATATCAGTATTTTGTTCCTTCTCATTGCTGAATAATATTTCATTACATGGAAATTCAGTATTCAAGAGAAGGCTGAAACTCAGAAGGGCAGCAATGGAAGAGTTACGAAAGATCACTAGTGAAGATGTGTCATGTAGAGACCAAGGCTAAGGTCATCTGTACTGTCGTATTCCCAATTTCCATGTACAGATGTGAAAGTTGAACAATGAGGAAGGCCGATGGGAAAAAAAAGTTGATTTATTTAAAATACGGTGTTGGAGGCGAGTTCTACAGATACCCTGGACTGTAAGAAAGACAAACAAGTGGGCCCTAGAGCAAATTAAGCCTGAAACATCACTGGAGGCAAAAATGACAAAACTGAAGCTGTCCTACTTTAGTTACATCATGAGAAGGCAGTTCTTTGGAAAAGACAGTAATGCTGGGAAAAATAGAAGGTGGCAGGAAAAGAGGAAGACCAAATATGAGATGGATTGGCTCCCTAAAGGAAACCATAAGCATGAGTCTACAGAGCTGAGCAGGGCTCCTGAGGACAGGACATTGTAGACATCACTTATTCATAGGGTTGCCAGGAGTTGGAGCTGACTCAACAGCATGTAACACACATAAATATTGATATTTTATTAAATCATTCAACAGCAGGTGGATATTTGGGTTGTTTCCATTTGGGGGCTAACATAAATGGTGCTGCTATGAACATTGATCTACGAGTGTTTGTGTGGGTGTTTTTATTTCTCTGGTGTACATCTAGAGGTGGAATTGCTGAGTCAGATGTTCACTCTGTTTACACTATCAAGAGAGAATGGGCCCTGGCCAGTGTGGCTCAGTTGGTTGAGCATCGTCCTGTGCACCAAGAGGTCACTGGTTTGATTCCTGAGTAGAGCACATGCCCGTGTTGTGGGCTCGAACCCCCGTAAGGGGTGGGCAGGAGGCAGCTAATCAATGTTTATTTTTCATCCATGTTTCCCTCTCCCTCTTCCTTCCACTCTCTCTAAAGTCAATAAAAATGCCCAGCCATTGTAGTTCAGTGGATTGAGCATCATCCCATGAACTGAGAGGTCTTGGTTTAATTCATGGTCAGGACACATGCCCGGGTTTCGGGCTCAATCCCCGTTGGGGAGTGTGCAGGAGGCAGCTGATAGATAGATGTTTCTAGCCAATCAATGTTTTTCTCTCACAAAGATAGATGTTTCTATCTCTCTTTCTAAAAAATCAATAACAACATTAAAAAAAATGAAATAAAAAAACACTCACTCTGGTTTTATAGTTAAAAAAGACCATGAATGGAGACATCTAAATATATAATATAAATAATGTTTATATATTCATATACAAATACAACAGACGTATAGATATAAATTTGAATTATAATTATCTGATAAAATGTGGTTTTATAAATGTATTAAAGTTTTGTGGTGGTTTTGAAACAGTTTGTAAGCTGTTCTTTCCGTTTTATATCTCTACATGTCAATATGTTTTGCAGATGATTTCCTTTCTGAAATCTAACTATATGCAAAAATTATTTTTGATGTTGAAGCTAATTTATTTTATTAGCTAGCACTAGATGTAAATTGCAATGTAATGGAATTAATCATTGAAAATGGAGCTATTTTGTTTTCATCTGCTTAATCAATTTGGTTTTAAAGGATTTGTTGTTTTTTTTTTTCAAATTTTATTAATTTATTTCTGTTACAGAAGTTTCTCCTTTTCACCCATATATGCAAACATTATTATCTAAAATATAATTTGTATTCATATAAAATTGTTAATAGAATCTTTCTATTTGTGTTATAATACAAATTCATTTACTTTGATTAGGCTAATTGGTCTAGAGCAGATCTGATGGTCCATGGGCCAAACATGGTATGGAATTATGCTTTATTTGGCTTATTCTGTGTTTTAAATTATTTGAATTTTAAATTATTTTAATTTAAAGTCTCTGGTTTACCACAGGTCTAAACATTCCTTATTGACTTATGTACCTAACTTACATGTTCATTTGTTACTTTCCTAGCCCTTGTGGGCATTTGAATTTGTGAACCTTTTTCTAGAATTCTGGTGAGTTTTCCTTAGAGTTGCCAGGAACAGAAGCCAGATTGCAACGAGTTGAGTAGTGAATGAGAAATAAGGAAGTAGAGCCATGAAAAGAAGAAAAAGAGTAATAGCTAGAGCAGGATTGGAAATGCAGGGCATGTATGCCATCACTCCTCCTCTTTGTTGCTCAAAGTAGGCCAATTGCTCATGGCACACTTTCCCAATGAGTTGTCTTTTTTTTTTTTTTTAAGCTAGTTTCATAATAGATCAGAAAATAGTACCTTTAAAAGGTGGATTGCTTGCTAGATGCAATCTTGGTGAGAGCACAAAGATTTAAGACCTGCTATCAAAAAATGAGATAGACCAAAAAACATCAAAGGACTAAGAAGCACAGTATCTAGAGTCATTTGGTATAGGGTTAAGTTGCTCAACACCCCCTGACTGAGAACATCGCTGTGTTATAACACAGTATAGTTACTGTTCACGATAATGACTCTGGATATCAAAAGTTAAATTGTATAGAACAATCTTTAAGGAGGCAGTAAAATATATAATATATTAAATGGGTAAGAGTTCCAAAGTTTTCTCAATTATAATAGTGGTAAGCTGCATTTATGTGGAAATAAATATTTCATTTCTTAGAAGACCCATGATGCTTTATAATAATTGAGTCTTTTTTTAGGGAAGTCCAATGCCTGGGTGGTTTGTTAAATAGTCTGTACGGAAGGACAGGTGTATCTCTTTTAGTTGTTTTTGGAGAACTGTTTAACCATAAACAAACTGGGCTAACTATGGATACCTAGTAGTTTCAGAATTGTCTCCTGAGAGTTATTAAAAGGCACGTTAACAGGGAATGTTTGGTGATGAGGTGAGTGAATAAGCAAATTTATTTATCTTGGACCCTTTATTCTCTTTAAAGAATTTCACGTTAGTCTTGGGTTATGAAAAACAAACCGTCTTTGACTTGATTATTTATATAACTAGTTTTCAAATAACTGCAAAATACTTTTTTTTTTTTTTTTCAGGATGGTCTTCTGGTCCTTCATTATGGTCTTGTGGTTTCTCCTCTGAAAATTACTTGAAGATTCTAAGAGTATCAGGAGGGAAGAGGGAAACAAAATAAGGTGGCTTCTGCAGGACTGTGTCTCACCAAAGATTTTCACGAAACATAATTGCTACCATTTTGTGCTAAGACATAACATCTATTTTTAGCACCAAGCATCATAATATTTATACATACAACTTGGAATAATGGAATGCATCTGTTTTACTAGTGACTATATATAAAAAGCATCCATAGCTCAGGGGGAAAATGTCAAAGTATTGGATTTTTAAATTCCTTGTGATTTCAAATACTTTGATATTAATTTTGCTTCCTAATCTTTCTTTAATTTTTTTTTATTTTTTATGTTTCTATTGATTTTTTTAGAGAGAGAGGAAGGGAGAGACAGAAACATCGATCAACTGCCTCCGACTGGGGACTGAGCATGTGCCCTGACTGGGAATTGAACTGGGACCCTCAGTCTATGGGATGACGTTCAATCCGCTGAGCCACACTGGCTGGGCTGCTTCCTAATCTTTTATGTAAATCAGTTACTATTTTCTTCATTGAGCCATATCCCTTTTAAGTTGGTGGTTTGGATTCTGCCATCTGCAATGGTATCAGTTGGGCAGGAAAGAAATATGCTTCTGAAATGAAGATTAAAGCCAGTCTTTGTTAAACTATGCAGACTGTACCCCTCAGACAAAGACCTAAACTATGGCCACTTCTGTGTGTTGCCATCCTGTTTTGATCTTGTATCTTTTATTTTTCTTTTTTTTTTTTTTTTACCAGCAACACTACTAAAGAGATGTTATTTGCTTCTAAAAGGAATACATCATCATCATTCTGTGTGAAGAGACTGTCTGCTGTACGGTTTATGGCCTTCCGTGTAATAAAGACTCTTTAACATCTTACAACAAGGGGTGCCTCTTTACAACAATATTTTTATTCCTAGAAAGTTAATTTGATTAAAATTCATTTTATTTGAGTACATAGTATGATTATCAACACCTTGTAATTACACTGCTTCTGAAAGTAATAAAACATTTGAGAAGTTTACAGAATACTTATTCATTGTTTCCTCAGTAAGTCAGTTTAATGTTCATTTTTCCATTACTTTGTCACTGGGATAAAGAATACGGGTGTTTGAGACCTCACTCACTTGGATACAGAGATTTCAGTTTAAAACATTATTTGCCTAAGATTAGCATTTTGATAGCTTTCTAAAATAAATATAAATATTTTGTAGACCCTATTTCACTACAAAATTTCCAATTCTGCATAGTAACAGTTACAATTGGGTAGAGTTTGGCAATTGTTTTATAAAGGATTTGTTAATTGTGTATAAATCTCTTCTAACATTTAATAAAAATTTTTAAATAAAAATTTATTTTAACCTATTTTGAAATGTTTGTGTTTATTGTGAATTAAAAAAACCCCACCAGCTTTGGCCTGTTTTGCTCAGTGGTTAGAGCGTCAGCCCATGGACCAAAGAATCACAGGTTCGATTCCAGTCAAAGGGCACGTACCTCAGTTTCGGTTCATCCCCGGACCTGGTCAGGATTGTGCGAGAGGCAAACCAGTCAATGTGTCTCTCACATTGATGTTTCTCTCTCTCTCCCTCTCTCTCCCCCTCCCTTCCACTCTATCTGAAGATAAATACAAAGATATCCTTGCGTGAGGATTAAAAAACAAACAAACACCAAAACTCTTTTAAGAGATGGGATATTGAATCAAAGTTAAACTTTGCTGTCAAGTAGATATTTTATAAACATCTTTAACTTAACTAATTATACTAGATGCTGTTATTTGATGATGGGCAGAATAGCAACTATGGAATTCATTGTCTCTTAAATGTTTCTTACACAAACTACTTAATATTTTTGTTCTTGTCCCATGTTAACATGTGTGTGTCAGGAATTCCCCAAGACCACCCTCAGGTTCACTGATTCACTAGAAGGACATACGGGACCCAGAAGAGCTATTCATATTTATAGTTTATTACAGTGAAAGGATAGAGATTAAAATCAGCAAATGGAAAAGATGTGTAGGGCAGAGACTAGGAAATACCAGGCACAAACTTGCAGTTGTTCTGTCCCAGTGAAGACGCAGAGATGGTGTTAATTCTCCCAGCAGTGATATGTGACATGTATGAAGCATTGCCAACCAAGGAAGTTCACCTAAGCCTTAGTGTCCAGGGTTTTTACTGGGAGTCAGTCACATGGGCATACAGTGCCCATGTGATTGACTCAACAATTGAGACCCCAGTACTTGCCCAGTGGTCAGACTTACACAGCATGCTCTGGGGCCCAAGGTATGAGAAAGCAGGCAGTCATCATAAATCACATTGTTAGCATAAACTCTCTGGTATGGCCCAAGGTCTCAGGCATACAAAGAAGATATTCCAAGGGCTCAGACCTTATGAATTACAGTAACATGGGAAAATACTTATTTTTAAGTAGAATACTAGAGGTAATCTATAATGAACAAATCAAAAGAATTTATCACTTGTTAGTGTGGGGACAAAATTTAAATTGAAGGAGAGTTCCTTCAAGGAACTCACAGCCTTTGGGTTACACCTCTCAGAGTTTTTAAAAAAAGGCAAATACTGGTAAATACACTGAGTCACAGAAAATTCCACCCTTTTTTCTCATCTATTCTGGACTTGACCTCCAGGAATCCCAACTAAGTTATATCTGGTTGTACCTGGCCTATTATTACTACCAGGCAGTGAACTAAGAATGCTGATTAATTGGCTTACAAATCTGTACCCCCAGATCAATATGATCTTGGGCTATCTCAACAGAAATACAGTTTCGGATCAAGAGACTTAATACTTCTACTCTCCAGTGTCTTATGTGTCTGGTCCTGGGGAGCATACTTCAAAGGTACCTCACAGATGGGAGAGCAATGGGATAGGGAACAGTCAAGGGAGAGACCCAGAAACCAAAAGCACAAGAGCAAGGGTTGAGCAATTGCTTCTGATTAACTTGGAGAAATGAAAACATGGGGATGAGAATGCAATACTTGTTAACTGTCTTTAAACAATGAGAGGGTCAAAGGCTTAGATGAAGGAAAACCACAAGCAAGAACAAACAAATGCCCTGCCTGGCTTTGGGTTAGCCTTGCTGATGCCACCAGCAGCATACATTTAGTTGTGTTGAGATAAGATCAAAGTTTTTTCAAGAGGGATTTTTACTAGGAACATAAGCAGAAACAAAACAAAATTCCCAAATCTACCCAACTAAGAAGAGTATATGAAGTACAGATTCCAGAGCTTAACTTCAATGGCTAAAGACAGATTTGTCTGGCACAAACTGCAGGTCTTGGGTTTTGCGTAAGCCCTCTCTGAGGTGATACTAAGCAAATATGTCCAGAGGGATAGTCTGTGGCAGTTTTAGTTTGGCAAAATGCGTGTATGTTAGGTTTTCTAGTTCCTCCCTTAAATGCCATCCCAATCTTTTGTCTCTAGAACAGGCCCAAGTCATTTCCTCTGATCTTGGGCTTCACTGAGCTTCCCTCTGTTTCCATTGTATTGCATTTTCCTCTTAATTGAGTTAGATACATTCTTTTTTTTTTCCCCATTAAAAAATTTTTTTTTATCCTCACCCAAGGACATTTTTTTTTTTTTTGCATTTATTTTTAGATGGAGCAGGAGGAAGAGAGAGAGAGAAACATCAATGTGAGAGAGAAACTTCGACCGGCTGCCACCCACACAACCCCAACCGGGGCTGAGGACAAACTGCAACTGAGGTATGTGCCCTTAGCAGGAACCAAACCCTGGACTCTCTGGTCCGTGGGCCGACATTCTAACTGCTGAGCCAAACCGGCCAGGGCTAGATTCTTTCTTTCTTTCTCTCTCTCTTTCTTTCTTTCTTTCTTTTCTTTCTTTCTTTCTTTCTTTCTTTCTTTCTTTCTTTCTTTCTTTCTTTCTTTCTTTCTTTCTTTCTTTCTTTCTCTTTCTTTCTTTCTTTCTTTCTTTCTTTCTTTCTTTCTTTCTTTCTTTCTTTCTCTCTCTCTCTCTCTCTCTCTCCCTCCCTCCCTCCCTCCCTCCCTCCCTTCCTTCCTTCCATCCTTCCTTCCTTCCTTCCTTTTTTTTCCTCACCTGAGGACATTTTTGCATTTATCTGGAGGTAGAGAGGGAGGAAGAGAGAGAAAGAAACATCAATGTGAGAGAGACACATCAATTGGTTTCCACCCACACAACCCCAACCGAGGCCGGGGACAAACTGCAACCAAGGTACGTGCCCTTAGCAGGAACCAAACCTGGGACTCTCTGGTCTGTGGGCCTACCCTCTAACTGCTGAGCCAAACCGGCCAGGGTGGCTAGATACATTCTTAACCAGTCTCTGACATTCCTCCTCTGGATTCCAAGCTAACAGGCTTTGTACACACTCACACATTGATTCTCCTACAATGACTTTGTCTTTGATTTCTTGGAAGTAACACCTCTGACCTACTTATTTGTCCTATTTAGCTTATCTAATGATTCAATTCTAGATTAATGTTCTTGTAGGATCAGCAGGTCATAATTGCTTATCAGATGTGTGATGTTGTTGTTTTCTTTAAAGTTCTAATAATTGCTATCTCCATGGTATATTTTTTCATCTTGGTAACAGAAGTTTCAAGCAGATACTGATTCTGAATGTTCATCTTTGTTTTCTTTAGTAGACCATGATCAAAGAGTGAGTTCTCATTTTTATTCTTTTCCAGTACACTGTTGTGTACATGAGTTTGATTATTGGCCTCTCTTCAAAATTGGACTGATGAAATCTAAATTTTATTACCTCTAGAGATTAATAGTCCATTCACAAATGAAATGCCATATTGATCTACTGAAAGCTTGCCAAGTACTTACTTACATAAAATGGACATTATGGTTTGATCTTGACTGTGTTTTGATTTTGTTCTGATGATGTCTGTGGTTTTTACAAGGGTTCTTAGTATGATACTATTTCCATACTAAATTTTTCTAATGTTTTAAAAATATTTTCCCAAGAGAAAAGCTGATTGAATAAGATTAAGAAGACAAAGTTTTCCATGAACAAAAATTTTCCCCCCAAAAAGACAGGCAGTATCATATAGTGATTAGGGACATGAATTGTGAAGCCAGTCTATGTAGCTTTGACTCCAAGATTTGCTACTTAAAAGCTATGTGATCTTGGATATGTTATGTAACTTCTCTGAGCTTTAGTTTTTCTCACCTGAAATGGGGACAAAGGTACCTAACTCAAAGGCTTGTTATGAGAATTAATGAGTATGTAAACACTTAGAATACTGGCTGGCATATATTCTATTATGAAGCTGAAATATGGTCCCTATTGTAGTCAATTTTTAGATTACTTTGCTGAATTAGTTCCTTTTTAGTGAATAAAGGGGGTCCATTAATATTGAAAGATTGATGTTGAACTATCTATTTTTTCCTTTCTTTCTAACTTGTTTTTTTTCTTCACCTCCTTCTATGGATAACCAAGAGAAGGCTTTGAAGTAGGACCTAGATTCTGCTTTCACCCTAATTCTAATCTTGACTTTGCTGCTTCTACTTTGCAGACTGGGTTAGTGCGAGGGCAGATAGTTTCCGTTGCCAGAAAGGAGTTCTTTCTGTTGAGCTCAAGTCTGGCTTAAGATAAGATAAAAGATTATCTTAGCCCTAAAGGACATCAGGAATTCTATATGTCCTGTGTCAATCCTTATATCAGGAAATCATGAAAGATAGAATTTAAACCTCTCATTTATTTATATTTATGGCAAAACAAATGAACCTTAGTGAGTTAAATTTTTTTAAAAGCATTTCTAAGGAAAAAGCCTTTTTCACCCTGTCCAATAATCAACATGACTAGAATCTACTGATTGTATTCCCAAACTCCAGAATTTATGCTAATTATTTTGGTTGCACTCTGCTGAGCATTCTATAAACTCTAAGAGCATGTGACAGAGCTAGAGTGAAATGTCTCAGACTTACACAGAGCAGAGACCACTTGCCTCATCAGGGGGGGATGAGAAGCCATGTGGTGATCTACAGTAATTAATCAATGAGGAAGCGAGCCTGGAGACTCCTCCCAGAGCAATCTTCATTTTTCTTTGTAGCCTGTGCCTTCTCTATTTTGTTTTCTCCTGAATTACTGAAGCATTGTAAAAACATAAATCTTTAAATATCTGCAGTGTGAATCACTGTGTTTTATTACAATCCTGCTGTGTGTGTGTGTGTGTGTGTGTGTGTGTTTCAAGGAATTGTAAGAAAGAATTTATAAATTTTAGCTAGTCCCCACCCCCACCTGCTAAGCTTTTGCAATATCAGCATAAAACATGAGGGCAATCTAATCATCTTCTAGGAGATCGATAGAAGAGGAGAGAAGTCCTTTGATTTACATAGTATAACCATTCTTTTCATCCTTTAAGGGGACATGGTAGGTAGTAAACACAGTCCTTTGTTTGACTGGATTCAGGAGCACTCACCCATTTATAAATGGCAAATCCATGTGAAATATTTGAAAATAGCAAAAGGCATAATGACATTAATCTAACCCAGCAATTTTCAACTGGTGTGCCACAAGAATTTTTAAAACATGCAATACCTGACTATTTAGTCAGGGGCACTGACCTCTTTTTCCTTAGATTGTCAAATAAAAAATGACAACAGCCAACACAACAATAGCTGTCCGGTGTGAGTAAATCAAAATTATACCTTTTATTTTTTTTTTGTCAGAGCAACAAAAAATATATTTCTTGGTGTGCCACAGAATTTCAATAATTAGTTTATTTGTGCCATGAAGTGAAAAGGTTGAAAATCACTGATCTAGCCTGTACATTAAATTTGAACATGCAACAAAGCCAGTAATGTATTTTCTATTTAAAAAAATACAGTTTCACATATGAGTTCTATTTCTTTGTTTTTTATCCTCACCTGAGGACATGCTTAGAGAGAGGAAGCGGGGGGGGGGGGGCAGAGAGAGAGAGAGAAATATCGATTGGTTGCCTTCCGTACATGCCCTGACTGGGGATCTAACCTGAAACCGAGATATGTGCCCTGACCAAAAATCGAACCTGCAGCTTTTTGGTGCATAGGATGACGCGCAACTAACTGAGCCACTCTGGCCAGGCTGAGCTCTGTTTTAAGATCCTACAAAGCCCCCTGTAGAATAGTTTGTTCTATTTTAAATTGCTATGCTTTCAGGTACACCAATATATTTGGTTCTAAGAAAAAAAAGGCATTCTTATGATTTAGGTGTTTTCAGAACCTTAGAGATTTCTGATGATATAATACTAAAAATAATATTGGTTAGAAATCAGAGATGGATGCTCATAGCAAGCAACATTTCTAGTTATTTTTTTCTCTTAATTAATGCTCAAGGAGATTTTGGACTTTTTCTCCAGGCTCTGTTTTAAAATCAATATGCTTATTAGAACTGGCTTCCGTTCTCCTAATGGAATTCTTTCTAACTGGAAATGACCCAGGGTGTTCTGTGCGTGATGGTCTCAGCTGGAGCAGAAGGTATAGTAGACTTTGTAATTACATTTTTCTAATAGTTCCATAAATTCTCTATCAATGGATTTTTTAAATTGAGGTAAAATTTATGTGACATTACATTAATCATTTAAAAGTGAGCAATTCAGTGGCATTTAGTACATTCACAATGTTGTACAGCTATCACCTCTGTCTAGCTCCAACACATTTCCATCTCTCCGAAATAAAACCCCATACCCGTTGAATAGTAATTCCCCCCCTCTCAGCCCTGGCCACTGCCCATCTGCTTTCTGTTCCAGTGGATTTTTAAATACATTTTAAATACTGTTTCAGGTTTGCCTTGAGAGCCAAGGTTCTGGGCTCCCTGTTTGTGTTCACAAGTAAGTTCTAGAAGCTTATCCCCAGGACTATATGTGATTTGCATTATCTCTGGATCTAAAATTTGGAATCTAGTTTCCAGACAATTGCTTAAATTTTGCTCCCTCTTAGTCAGTATAGTAAAATGAATTACAACTATCCTAGATATATGACCTCTTGAGGAATTGTCCATCCTAGGCCCTTTGATAATGAGCTACAGAATTTCTTGCAAAATCATTTTTTACTTTAAAAAAAAAAAAGGTAAGTGGCACCCAATTCTATCTTTTAGCAGCGGCAGAGATGACTCATGGCTGGATGGGCCCAGAGCCCAATTTTAAGCTGCCACCACCTCACTGCAATGCAGGAAGGCAGTAGGCTCAGGAAGTCTGCAAAGTGTAGCAGTTTGCCTATAGGACTTAGTGTTGCCAACGGTTTCTGAGGCTGAGAAACCTTAAGTGAAACCAGTGCAGAAGGGTGAAAAAGAAGATAAAAATATTTCTATTCCCTCAAGTGAGGGAACTTTCTTTTATGTGGGAAAGAAAAGCAAGCACTGCAGAGTCAGAAAACCAAGATTCAAATCCCAGTTTTGTTCCTTACTGTGTGATGTCAGACAAGGGTCTTAACCTTGTCATTCCAAGACTCTGTTCCTTATTTGTAAAACGGATATACAAATACTACATTTAAAGAGTGGTTGTTAGATTTAAATGAGATAATTCTATGTTTACCGCCCAGTACAGTGTCTGATACATAGGTACTGAATAAATTACAGCTGTAATTATAGCTCATAAATGAATAAGTCTCAGGGTACAGAGGACCCCATTATCTACTGATTCTAAAAGTGTTGTTTAGATATCATTAATATGCTTTGCAGACAGGCTTCTTCACAATCTCATAGGGTCACTTTGTTGTCCTGTTCTGTCGTAGCAGTGAATATTGCTTGCTTTCCTTCCCTTCTCCTCCCTGCCTCATGTTTCCCTGTTACTGTGAGCGTTCTGATTTAATAATTTATCAACTCCATAAGATGATTTTAATGTCTTTGTTTTATAAATGAGCTCATGACAATTTGTGGAGACTCATTGAAAACAGGAGATACAAATTAGTCAGAGCCATAGATTGTATAAATGTAATAAAAGGACTCTGGTTTGGCATAGAGAAGGATTCATTAACTAAACAGTATTCTTAGAAGCAGCAGCCAATGTCTATATTGCAAACCCATGTATTGCAATACTATTTTTCCTAAAAGATGCTTTGTTATAAAACTCATTGTTAGAACATGACTACCAGATCTCTTTTCACCAGAAGTACCATTAATGTATCTTTGAGAGGCATACAAGTACCTTAGCCAGATGGACTGAGAATTACAATACTGTGTAGGATTCAGCAAGCTTCAGCTTCACCCACCAGCATCCACTGTGAGTCACAGTCATAGACCCTCTTTTACAGTCTCTATCCTAGAACCTGGCATGGCATTAGTAAATCTCAACTTGGTGTCCATGGACTTCTGGACATCAGAAGTAGATAGTCCTAGAGGAGTCACAAGCCCCTTGATCTGTACAGAGTTTTGCATGTGTATTTTTTTTCTTCTAGGAGAAGAGTTTATAACCTTCTCCAAGGGATCTACAGTCCCAAATAGGTTAAGAATTGTTACAGTAGAGGAAAACTCTATTACTGCTATCCATGTTCTACCTAAATATCTGGGTTCTGAAAAAGTATAACCCCATTTTCAAAGAAGGAAGATTCCTATTGTTTTGAAGGACCTCTTATCATGTGTGTTCTGCCAGTGTAGTCTCGGAAATGTTCACCAAGTTAAGCCAGTTAAATCATTATTCAGGCACAGAATGCAGTGTCTGTCATCAATTGATTTGATTTCCCCACCCCCTGCCATGAATTGTTCACTTAGTGCATTATGTGTTTCAGACCAGACAGTCTGAAACAAATGCAGACTATAGCCTCAAGGCTTTGGCAGGGAAAAAAATAAATGTGGATACACGGAACAGAGAACATACCGTTTCTGAATTATCCGGGAGGCATAGTTGTCTCACTGAACCAAAACAACGCTTTTCTCAGTGGAAGCAAAAGAAACCACAAAACAAGTTATGTTGGTGGGATTCATGTGACTTTTAATTCTTATTTTACTAATGTTTTACAGTAAGTGTGGGGAGTAAAGACAGGATAGAGTGAGGGAAAGGAAGAAGAGAAAAGTATCTTTCGAGTTCCTTAAACTATGGAAGCATGTGCTAGGATAAGAAAGTTCAGTAAAAGCCTCACATCCTTTTCACCACAGAGCTCTAATGGAGAAGTGTGACAGAGACATGGCAACTCGTTAGCTCTGGTGAAGTGACTGCTGGCAGAGAATTAATCCTGCATCAAACTTGGCACACGTGGAAGACTAGGCAATGCAGCTGCTGCAGTTAGGCAGGCGAGAAGTTGATCCTCCAGAACTTACTTCCTAGCATGTGAGTAGGAGCATATGTGTCCCTTATCTGGTCTGGGTGTCTCCTCCTCTCCAGCAGGGAGCCCACCAACCATGCAGCAGTGGGAAAACTGTTGGGCAAGACTCTTTTAGAAAAGAGAAAGATTGCTTTTTTTATATTTGCTGGTGGTATTGATTGACCAGAGTGACTTCTTTTGCTTTGGGGCAGTAGCATTGTGTCCTGGTAATAACATAATCTACACTGAGCACTCTTAAAAGGCTTAAGAGAGTGAAAACAAGGCCTGTTTAGGAACTAGACTGGTAGCAAGGGGGATATGTGGATTCTAAGGATAAGGGCATGAAACAACTAATTCTATATCACCACAAACGAACCGACAGATAAATGAGACCTTCACTTTTTCCATTCGTACAAATATTCACCTCTTCTAGCTTATATTACTAAATCTAAGGTCAGCTTAATCACAGCTTGGGATCTTGGGCTAACTATTACTGTGTTTCTAATATTAAGGTGAAAAGCTACATTCTTAATTGAGTAGGATTTTTTTTTTTCCCTAATTAAATGAATTTGTTAAGCTGAAAAGCCTAAAATCTACAGAGTCTTCATTATTTTATATATTGAAGGCAACCCTTAAAACTTATCACTGCCATTTTTGTTTTAACCTGCAGAATTGGAAGGATATGAAATGGGCAGGGGGAAGTCATTACATGAATCATAGAAATGGTCAACATGCATCTTATTTTACCCATCAGAAAAGAGAGCTAAAGGGGTAAGTTCTTTTGAGGAAAGTCTAAATGTGTTTAAAAGGGGAAAATACTACACTAGCTTTTTTTTTTCTGAATAGAAGAAAAGAATATATGGAATTGAGGGGTGTGGGAGGAAAAGTGTCCATTAAACACCTATCATTTGTGAAACGGTCATATTAGAGTGGTCGGGTGTGGACCATTAGTTTGTCTTTGGCAGTGATCTTATATTTTAGATATCTAGAGTGAGATTATACAGCTGGGCAATGGTTGGTTATAGTGAGTGAAATAGGTTTTAATTTCAATTCACAACAAATGATGATGATCACAGATTTAGCACCTTAGTTTGTACTTCCTCTGTACGTGAATCATCTATCACTGCAAAGCCCGAGTTCTAGGTGAGAAAGCTGTGTTCTTAGATAACTCCTCTGTGATGGCTCTAGGACTGCAGTTTGCTCCAATTTAAGGGTGGTTTTCTTATTAGAGAATGTAAGCATTCGATGCTAAATGTGAGACTGAAGCCTTGAAGACATTTTATAGTGGTGACAGGTGTATTGGGTCAGGAATAGGCTGTTTAACAAGGCAAATGCATATTATCCCCTCTTAAGCGTTAACTCTTTTTAAGCAACAGAATTATATTTTTTGGCTTGAAATGGTGCTTTCTTCTATATTTGATTTCTCGCTTTTCTTAGTAGATACTACTGTCTCCTCCAATATTTCTTCAAAACTTTCCTCTATCTGGGAGGTTTTCTTAGAGACTACCTTAGAAGCCTCCTCTTCCTCCTCCTCCTCCTCCTCCTCTTTCTTAAGAGACAGCCCAGTGGATGACACTTTGGAAGTTGTAGAACTGAGGATTCTAGGCGGGAGCAGATAACCTGGATTGGGAAGTGGATTCAGCCCTAAAATGCTTGATCCACTGGTGCTAAAACGTGTCTCTTCGCCTTCCAGCAGCTTCCTATAAATCAAACAGAAAAAAATAATCTCAGGAGGCCAACTTGCAACTTTTAAAAAACGAACTTAACCCTGCGGCTCCTATTCATTTTAGAAAGATTCTGTAAGACTTCATAGTTTATTCATGAGACTAAGACCAATATTGAACCCCAAGGCTCAAAGGCTTGGAGTTATCCAGCACATGCGTGCATGCTCACTCAAACACCACACACACACCCATCTTCCACACCAACTGTGTTGAGAGCTCTGTCAGCTTTCATCCTATTCACAAATATATTAACAAAGAAAAAACCTACAATTTCCCTTGGCCTCATCACACTCATTTTTGGTACTTATAGTCTACAAACCTCTAGAGAAAAGTAATTTTGCTAATTAACATAATAAGTGCAATAGGATTATGGAGGTGAGAAGTTCACAGAGGAGGAAAGAACTGTCTAATTCTGCCTGAACTTGAGATCTGTACTTTTGCTATTTTTTTATTTTAATTTTAAATTTTTTCATTGATTTTTTTTTTTTTTAAGAGAGAGAGAGATAGAAACATCAATGTGAGAGAGAACATTGATTGGCTGCCTCCTGCATGCCCCCTACTGGGGATCAAGCCCGAAACCCGGGCATGTGCCCTGACCAGGAATCGAACCGGGACCTCTCAGTCTATGGGATGATGTTCAATCCACTGAGCCACACCAGCCTGGCAAGATCTGTACTTTTTCAATGTACAGGAGTACAAACGGTGTGGAACCAGCAATATCAAAGACCAGTGAATGAACCTGTTTCACATCCCAGAATTTTTCTCTGGCTGGTCTAAATGGCATTACAAAAGAGTGGCCCCAATACTTTGTTTCTTATAACTAACAGTTATCATCCTTTCTTTAAAATAAAAAATTCAAGACACTATCAGATACTCTTGAAGCTTCATTTTGAAGTAGTATACATAGTGTAAAAATAAAAAAGAAAGAAAAAAAAATGCTTAGATAGATCTGAGGTTGAATCTGAAGTCTTCCATTTATCAGCACTGTGACTATGAGTGACTTACACAGTCCATGGTTCAAGTTTCCTCATCTGCACAATGGGAATGATAAGACCTGACACCTAGATCATGTATATTGCAGTATCTAATAGAGTGTCTGGCTCATAGTAGTCAGTCAAAACCTTTTATTAGCTGCTGTTAATACATTTTTAAAGGTAAATGTTCACCTGAATTATTACCTTTAGTGGGAATCAGGGAGATACTGCATCTATTAGGACTTTCTATGCTGTATAAACCCTATTTTCAAAGTTAGAGTATGGTGGGTTTATTTCAACCTCTATATACTCACATTATCCCTTTAAATTTTAGCAGAGGTAAGTAGAAAAATCAGGACTAGCAAGGTGGAAATGGGATATAATCAAGTCAAGTGACAGAGGGATCAGTGATATCTTTCTTCATCTTCCCTCACCCATAAGAAATAGGAAAGACTAGAACCTCTTATTTAGGTAATGCTGCCCCAGGAGATTGCACTTGCTTGGGTGAGCATGCCCTTTGAAGTACCTGTAAGCTGCTATCTCAATGTCAAGAGCCATTTTGACATTGAGCAAGTCCTGGTATTCCCGAAGGTGGCGTGCCATCTCACTCTTGGTGTTCCTCAGATCATTCTCCAGTTGCCCAATACTATCCTGAAAAGCAACATATCCAACATAGTTAGGCCAAAACCAGCAGAAATTCATTGAGATTTCCACAAGTCAAGGATTCTTGAACTTGACTACACATTAAAACATCCAGACCTCTCCCCTACCCCTGCCCAGTCAAGATTCTGATTAATTTGCTCTGGGGTGGGGTCCCATCACCTAGATTTTTCCATAAAGGTCTCTAGGAGATTTGGATGCATGGTGAAGGTTAGGATTTTCCACCACAGGGCACATGGTTCTCAACTGAACACTAGGGAGATATATTTTTTCTTTTTTTTAAATCCTTACCCAAGGGTATGTTTATTGATTTTTTTTTTTTTAGAGAGAGAGAAAAAGGGAGAGGGAGAGAGAAAGGGAGGGAGAGAGAGAGAAAAAGAGAGAAAGCGAGAGAGAGGGTGGGGGGGGGGAGAGAGAAACGTTGATGTGACAAAGAAACATCAATCAGTTGCCTCCCATACACGCCCTGACCAGGGATGGAACTCAACTGGGAATCGAACCCACAACTTCTTTGTTGTATAGAACGATGCTCCAGCCAACTGCACCACCCAGCTGGGAGGGAGATATTTTCTTTCTTTCTGTTTGCTTACCATCCCTTCCTTGCTTGTTGTATTTGCTGCTAACTCACTTGTTGCATGTCCTTTCCATAACCCAAAGCCTCAGGTTAGGAGCTTAGATTTAGAAAATTCTTACTGTGGAAAGCACAGAGGACAGCAAATCTTCTCTGCTTCCTTTCATGTTGATGATTTCCTGGAAGTCTGCCACTCAGTCACCTGACTGAAAGCATTTTACTCGACAGATAAGGAGGAAGCAGAAATACTTTGTGGAATTTTTTATCCACATGGCAGATTTAAATTATAATATTAAAAAAAAAGAGAAAGAAACCAGGTTTATGTAATAGTTTTGCTCCAAATTCTTCCAGGTGCAAACCCAGGCATAGAAGAAAAATAGCTTTAAATTTGTGATTCTAGAGCAGCCAGAAGGATCTTTTATTTGTATATATATTTTTAGATTTAATTTATGTTTATTCTTGAAAAGCATTACAGCTGTCTCTCCTTTTCCCTCTGCATTGACTCCCTTCTCCCCATCACCCCTGCCTTCACTGACCTGCTGCCTGTATACATTGGTTATGCATATATGTGTGTAAGTTCTTTGGTTTATCTCTTCTCACCTCCTTCACCCCCTTCCCTCTAAGGTTTGTCACTCTGTTCCCTACTTTCATGTCTCTGGATCTATTTTGTTCATCACCTTATGTTGTTCATTACATTCCACAAATAAGTGAGATCACAGCATATCCTATTGTTTACCTGCTTAAAGTCCTCCAATGCCTGTGGAATAGAGTCCAAACTCCTCAACATGACCTATACTGTCCCCCTTGTTCAACATGCCAGCTACCCTGGCCTTCTCTTTTGCTGCTTTGACCTACCAAGCTGCTGTCCCAGGCCCTTTAGGCTAGCTATTTCCTCTGTTTGGAATGCTCTGGAGTGGGTCTTTATAAGGCCCACTTCGTGTTCATAAGACTCAGTCAAATGTCCTCTACTCAGACAGGTCTTCCTGGCATCCAACTTAGGTATTCTCTCCACACTGATCTCGCACATTATCTTACCTCAAGTCAGGGCAGCTGCTAGCCCATGAAGAAATACTGTGCAAATTAGAAAAATGTGACCTCCCTTGAGAGGACAAATTTTTAAAAAGCACCCACTTGAAAGTGGCCAGTGTGCTCAGCTCTAATCATTATCTGAAATAGTTTCCTTCTTCATTTACTAGTTTACTAATTTAATTCATCACCTTCCACTATAATGGGGTTTTTCAGCCTTGGCCCTATTGACATTTTGGGCTGGATAATGCTTTGTTGTGGGGAGCTGTTCTGTGACTTGTAGGAGATATATATATATATATATATATATATATATATATATTTTTTTTTTTATCCTCACCTGAGGACATTTTTCCATTTTTTGTTCAGGTAGAGTGGGAGGGAGAGAGAGGAACAGAGAGAGAAAGAGAAACATCGATGTGAAAGGAACACATCGAGTGGCTGCCACCCACACAACCGACCAGGGCCGGGGACAATCTGCAACCGAGGTACGTGCCCTTAGCGGGAACCGAACCCGGGTCTCTCAGGACCGCAGGCCGACGCTCTAACCGCTGAACCAAACCGGCCAGGGCACTTGTAGGATATTTAGCAGCATCCCTGGCCTCTACCCACTAAATGCCAGTAGTACACATTCTCCCTCCCAGTTGTGACTACTAAAAATGTCTCTAGACATTGCTAAAAGTCCCCTGGGGACAGATTGCTCCTGTTAGAGAACTGCTCTAGAATGTAATTCCATGGAAGCAGGGACCCTTTCTGTCTAGTACACCCCTGGAAGACGGAGCCTAGCACAGTGCACACTGGAGATGCTCAGTGAATTAATTGTTGAATAATACCACATAAGCACTTCTTTTTTAATGACCTGACAAGGTATAAGCAAATAACCCATATAATTCAGTTGCAACTTTGTCAACATGAAGAGCATTATGACTGAGAATTACATTATGAATCAGTGATGCAATAAACATATCAGAAACCTCAAGAAAGTAAGTGCTGAAGGCGGGGGGGGGGGGGGTCTTGTAATTCCCCTTGTGTGGGGATGATAAAGTCTTGGTGAAAGATAGTATTAACGCCTCAAAGGGTATAATTTCCAAATCAAGAGAATCTGCAGAAAGATTTAAAATTCATACCACTTGCCTGTACTATAGATATTGATAGGAATACCACAAAGGAGAGACTCAATTAAATGATGGCTACAGAGCAAGGAGTGATAAGCAGTGGGGGAAATACATGTTATACTGGACAGCAATGGAAATATTCCAAGGTGTGTTAAGGCATGAGGGTTTATACCCTGGCCAGTTTTGCTCAGCGGTTAGAGCGTCGGCTCACGGACCAAAGAGTGCAACCAGTCAATGTGTCTCTCTCACATAGATGTTTCTCTCTCTCTCTCTCCTTCCCTCCCACTCTATCTGAAAATCAATGGGAAAATATTCTCGAGTGAGGAGTAACAAAAAAATAAATAAATGAGAGAGAGAGAGAGAGATCATGAGGGTTTAAAAGGATTTTTACCAAGAAATTTTACTTAATGGTTGCTATTTGAGGTTAAATTAACCTATAAGCAAGTCTACTAGTGATGCTAGTAAACGAATCAATGTTAACTGTGGTAAGGGGGAAAAGAGTCTAGGTGAGGCTTAAAAAGGAGAAGGTATTCTCATTATGCAAAGGAACAGGAGAAATTCATGAAGAGAAGAGGAGGATTTCATCAGGATCTTTGAGTGGTAATTCATGCCCTGCCACAAATATCTAACATATCTCAGTCAGTTATCTATATTTTTGTCTCTTCAAAACTTCCATTTCTGCATATGGAAAATTGGAAAGTTTATTCCTTACTGAGGTATTCAGAGATTCTCAAGTTGGGATTCTAATTTAATGCACCTCATATTATTACATGCTTCCATTATCTATTAAATTAGATAATAGGCATTAGAATAACATTTGTCACATAGGAACTGCTCAATAAATGTTAGTGGCTTTTTTTATTGTTAATATCATACCATATGACTCTCTACCCTTTTAATCATATCAATAAATTAATCATGATAAATGATTACTCCTTAGATAACTAAGGAAAGCAACTTATAACTTTAATATTGAATAGTCAGAGGCATATCATTAAAGCACTAGTTTATTTTTTTAAATAACAATTTTGAATAAAAATATTTCTGAAGTGGGTTGTACCACTCTTAATTAGGACATTAAACATAACACAACCTTTCTCAGCAACTGCAGGTTATGAAAATGATCAATTATTTTTCTATAATTCTTGATGTCTTTTATCCTTTAGGTCAACTGAGGTATACCAGGCTGCTTATTTCTACCCTAAAGGACTCCAAAGAGCAGTGTTTGAACTAATGTTTGCTACTTATTGGTTTTCTTTGTCTTGAAAGAACGGATCTACTTCTCCCTGAAATGCCTGACTCCAGTGGTCCCTTCTTCTCTATCATGCTGCAGGATTGAAATCCAAACAAAGTGCTTTAGAATTATGTCAAGTAAGAATGAATAGGCTGGGGCATCAGAGAGGTAATATATAATTTAGAGATAGATATTTTTGTCTTGTTAGCAGGTTAATTAGGTTGTTTTATTTTTAAAAATTATTGTTTCACAGTGTGTTTTCTGGAAAAAAAGATTATTGGGGAGTTGAGTTCTAGATAGATGAGATTTCCTTGCACTTTTTATATTGCACATTTCACATGTCTATTTCATGGATCAGAGTAGACAAAAAGCATGACTTTGCTCCTTTCAGAAAGAATTGTGCTGATTGCTGATCATTGCTCTTCAGTGTCTCCTCTCTTTGTTTGCGCTCTTTGTTTCCCTACACCAGGCTGCCTGGCCTCGCCCTTCAAAAGCTCTTCCAAAGATGGCTTCCTGCTCATGAAATCTAAGCAAAGCACTGCAGTCTGCCCCCTCCCCCAAGCACACAGCTGCTGCTGGCTTAGCTTGAGGGAATGGGAGAGAGGCACTCCCAGCTCCAGCTGGGGTCTCTCCTGGAGTCCATAAAACAGGTGCTGAGCATCTTCCTCAGGGCTGAAAGGATGTGGGCTGGAAGTAAGAGAAAGAACTGGCTACACTAGCATCTGCACAGTACTATAGATTTCATCACTAAGGGGCTCTCAGCCAGACAACAGTTACGAGTGTAGCCATCCGGAATTACTACTCTGCATAATAAACTCACATTGAGAGAGAGGAAATTTTTATATATGATCCCCCATGTGCCTTATTCTCCCTCCTGTCTTTGTTTTATCCCCATATTAATTTTTTTTAGTCCCTACCATACTAAAACACCTTGTATTATATAAACTGGTTTACACTAGAAAATGTGGTTTAGGTTATTGCACCCCAAAATCAATCTGAGGAACAACAGGATGCAGTGTTTTTATTGAAAACTCTTATCCTTGGACCACACCTACTTGAACTACTAAATCCATACCATCAGGAGTGGGCTTGAGAATCTTTTCTTTAAGCCCTCAAGTGACCTTGGTCTGTCAATGGTTTTAGGACCCAGTAATTTCTATTTTTTTTTGTAAAGGAGCTATCATGGTGGCCCAAATGACAGTAATACAGTGAGGTAGAGAGGGTCAAGAACAAAACAAAACAGAAAGCATATGGAAGAGTTAAAGACTAAATAAATGTAGCTTTTTTTCCCCTTGAATTCTAAATTCAGGAATTAATCTATCAGACTATAGATTTATATGCAGGCACTGCCACTCCCAATCTCCAAGGGATGAGCCCCTTCCTGCTATTTAATTAGGCGGTATTCCAATTGCATACTGGAGAGAAGAGGGCAGACTTAGCTCCTCTCCCTGGAGAGCATTAAATAATGGTGATCTTGATTGTTCAGCAAGGTCTTTCAAGGAAAGCTTTAGCTTTCCAAGACTGACCATAGTATAGGGCCAGGGACCCAGTACCCTTCAAAAATGTCCTTAAATATCTTTGGGAAAATGGGGGCTCTAATGGTGGTGAAGCAGCTATGCAGGAACCCAAGTCGCCCTGTTTTAGAAATGAAAAAGGCTTCAGCCAAAGAGGATGATCGCATCTGGCTTTTGAAGACAAAAGCTCTAGCTCTTCATCATTTCTCCTGTTGCCTGAGTGGACCTCTCATGCACCACTGTGTACTTACTATGTCACCTTGAATAATATTTACCCTTTCAAAATGTAATAAGCTTTTTCTCCTCAAATAGGCTGTCAGCTCTCTGGAGCAGGGAAAAACGTGACTTTTAATAGGGCCTTCCTTTGCCTCTTGGAGGGTGGCAAGCTTGCAAAAGAAAATGAGCCTACTACTGATCACTGAAGCAGAAGAAAGAGAACAACCTCCCATTACTGCAGTGAAAAGGGAGGGGGGACTGGGTGAGAGGGCAAGAAAACAATGGCTGAATCTCATTGTGCAGAAGGAAGCTTTTCATCTTCATCAGTACTGCTGAGATTGTTAGAACAACCAGAGGATACCCTTGTGGCTTCAGGCCTTTAGGTTTTGTAGGCAAGGATGTGAACCTCTCTTCAGCCTTAGGTCCCAAGGGATAGGAAATAGCTTTCTGTCATATTATATCTTCCACCCCATCAGCAGGTCCACTGAGGCACTGAAAGCAAAAGCTAATGGGGGCAGCACTGCAAAACTGCAGACAAGCCACAGTTTCTGTTTTGTTTTCTCTTGTAGACTATGTCTACATTACCTACTATTGTCTAACACTGAAAGCCTTTTAATGCAAACAAAACAAGCCAAACAATATTGCCACTACTGTTTAGAATGCAGGGGCTATAAAAAGCAAACAGAGGACATGGCAAAGCCCAATTCAGATGGCAGTTGTGGGTAAGTGATCCTTTTTGTAGAACTATCAGGCTAGCCCTTCAGAAGATCACCTAGCTCATCCTTTGAGGCTTCTAGAAGAAAACACAAAGCTTCAATGAACTAAATGTGACTAATCCAGATTTTCTAGAGGGTAGGCCACTAAGTGAAAATTTCAAGTTACAAATCTTGAAGCAGAATATATGTCTTTACTTGAATACTACTGTAATTGCAAACTAACCAAAACAAATAGTCCAAGCAAACTTTCTTCCTTTATCAAAGAAAATAATTTAAAATGAATAACAAATATCTGTACACCAATGATTATTCTTTATCTCCAGATTAAAATCATACTTTTGAGGTTTCACTTCTTTCTTGTATGTATTTTATTAATGTTCCCCAAACCCTATTAATTTAATCAAGTGTAAACTTTTATCTTGGCTAGAATAAATTATTGCAAGTTCTTAATTATTAGCTTCTACCCAATGGAGCTTTTATTGTACCTTGAATCTGAACCACGCTATTTATATTATTTTCTACACTTTTTTCCTGCCTCTGTACCGTTATGGTCATAAGCCCAGAATGTTTTATACAGAAAAATTGAAGATGCAGTGGTCTTTGTTTGGAGAAAAAAAGGGAGGAAAGAGCCAATCACAGGAGCTTAGAGGAAAGGAAAAGATGAAAAATAAGTGGCCTATAACAAAGATAGAACCTATCTCTTTGATTTATCACATTCACTTAGATTGGGAAATGTTAAGAAAATAGGCATTTTCAAGTGGGACTTCACTGCTGCTGAGCAGATTAAGTGGTTTTTGTTCAGTGTTAAGCCATCCATGAAAGTGAATATTGATGCTGTCCACGGGGTGACCTTTGATTGCAGGTAGCCAAGACTGATGTGTTGGTGTTGCAGAAGGAAAAAAATATCGAAGCAGTTAATTGCCTAGAGAGTCCTAACTGGGACATGCGACGGGGGAGAGATTTCTGAGATGGGAAGAACTCGAGATCAGCACCGAGGACAGCGCCCCGACCATTCTCTTTTCCTCACTGATGTAAAGCTTTCTTTAGGAAGAAATATCATCAATCGGTCGACAAGGGAACCGTGTGTGTGTGTGTGTGGGGGGGTGTATATGTGTATTGGGGGAGGGGTAGAGCAAGCAAGAACAGGGTGGTTATGCTAGCCTAACCACCCATCTCATTGGTTTCCAATTTTTACTCTTTTGAAGATAAATCTTCAAAGGAAATGGGGTACAACTCTTCCCAGTTCAGTCTAACATTCTTCCCCCAAACCTAGGGCAGATCACACTCTATCAATATTTATTCCCCAGCGTACAGGAAGCCTTTCAAAGTCAACAAAAGAAACCAGAGAGCCGAGACAGCACCGACAACCATGGAGAGGGTGTAACCCACTTCCGTTGGACTCGCTCCTACTTTGGGTGGGGAACTGTTCTTCAAGTCTTACGCGTGTATATTTCCACTTGCTGACAGGGAGGCATGAGTTCGATTTTTGGAATCTGAAGAAGAGAAGCTAAGGGTTTCTTTGTTAGAAGGGCTCGTAAAAGGATGTGAGGGGCATGAGAAAAGGGCGTCCAGGCCCGTAAAATTATCAGTGGAGGGTCCAGAGGTTTGTTTGCCAAGGCATTTAGCCCACGTTCTTCCCTTCTCCCTTGCCCTCCCGTCAGTTCCTTGGGCCACAATTGTGCGGGAAAGCGCAGGACGGGGTGGGGCAGGGCGCCCCTCCCTATACAGCACTCCAGCCCTTACCTGGTAGCTAGCCACTTCAGCACTGTGTCGCTCCTCCAGCTCCAGGATCTGCCTCTCCAAGGATTCATTGGCTCCACGAAGGCCCTCAATCTCGATGGTGCGTGCCTGTAGCTGGCGCCGGTACTCGTGAATCTCCTCGCGGCTGGCCCGGATGGCCTCGGTGCTGCGCGCCGCCTGCTCGTTCAGGTTGGCAAACTTGGACTTGTACCACTCCTCGGCTGATTGCAGGTTCTTGGCGGCCAGGGACTCATACTGGGCGCGGATCTCCCTCAGCGCCGAACTCAGGTCTGGTTTAGCTACAGCCACATCCACCTCGGCCACTGCCTGCGACGATGCCTGCAGCGTGGCCAGCAGCTCGGCCACCTCCTCGTCGTGCACCTGGCGCACGAAGGCCAGCTCATCCAGCAGCGACTCCACCTTTTTCTCTAGGTCTAGGCGGGCCAGCGTGGCACCGTCCACGTCGCGCTGCTGCGCCTTCAGGGCGCGCTCGGCGCCTTCGCGCCCGCGACTCTCCTCCTCACAGCGCGCCCGCAGCCGCTGCACCTCCTCCGCCAGCCCGTCGCGCTCAAGGAGGGCCTGTGCACGAGCCGAGCTCGCCTCCTCCAGCTGCGCGCGCAGGTCTCGCAGCTCGCGCTGGAAGAGCTCGCCAACGCGCGAAGGCTCAGCGTGGCGCTGCCGCAGCGCGGCCAGCTCGGTCTCGAGCGCGCGATTCTGCGTCTCCAGCTGATGCACCTTCTCGATGAACACCGCGAAGCGGTCGTTGAGGCCCTGCAGCTGCTCCTTCTCGTTGGTGCGGATAATCTTGTACTCATTGGTGCGTGCCGCCGCCTGGCTCAGGTCCAGCCCGTCGGACACCGGAGGCCGGCGGTAGGCCAGGCCCAGGCCAAGAGACGAGGCCGAGGAGCAAGCGGCCGAGGAGGCCACATTGCAGCGGGACAGCGACTGCGAGCGGTAGCTGCCCGCGCTGCCAGTCCCGGAGAGGCGCGAGGACAGACGAGAGCTGTCTCCGAACACCTTGCGATAAGAAGAGGGGCCACACAGGTAGTGCTCCGAGCCGAAGTTCATGGTGCCGGGACCAGGGCAGGGAGAGCGACTGCGGCAGTAGGTACAAAGGAGAGGAGAGGTGCGCCAGGCTGGGCTCGGTAGGGCGTTGTGCACCGGATTTTAAGGCGCTGGGGTTGGGGCGGTGCGTTGGGGCGGTGCGTTGGGGGCGGAGCTCCTGCTCCGGGTCTGGCGGAGAGAGGGAAGGGGGGCATCGGGATCGCGGGCGGGGAAGCGCAGTGATTACCGCAGCTGCGCGCGCGACGGTCCTAGGGCGCTGGGACAGAGATATTTGTGTAGGAGCCGCCCCCGTCCACACTGTCCCTCCCCAAGGATCGTCTGACTTGAGTGCAGGGTTGCCTAAACGACTGAGGTTTGTCATCCAGAAACCGCACAGTTCTGTCGCGTCCCTTTACCCTGTCCTAGGGTTTTCTGGGAGGTGTTCCGTACGTCCATTCTCACCCCGGAGCTCCCGAGGATGAGGCCCTGTTTTTCCAGTTAGAGTGGGGACCCAAACGGGAGGCTTTGTCCTTCCCTCAGCCTTTTCGGGGTTCCCAGGGGGGAAGTGGGTCTACGTCAGAGGGCATCTTATCAGCTGTTCCTCTGCAGCTCCTGGGACCGCCAGGGGCGGGAGGCTGCGCGGAAAGACTGCGACACCCCGGGAAAAGAAGGGAAGTAGGTAAAGTGCGCATGGGCCTGAGTTGCAGAGTGGAGAGAAGCGGAGGAAAGAGCTGGGATGGCCGCAATGGGCACAGGTGAGGTGCCCCAACCATTTGTAAAAGTGTGCTGTCACGTTCACCACAGTCCCCACCACTCTCCGTTGAATTTCGCCCACTTTCTTAATTCCTTTACTTTACCTGTCTGGCCCAATAGGCAATTTGAGATTTTAGTCTGTGTAAATCCTAATCTGGTTTGTGGGAACCCCTTCCTGTAGAGATCTCTCTTTGGACAAAAGAGGTCCCTGTAAACAGATCCCCAGGAATGGGGTAGAATGATGGTGCCCTGGCCGGTTTGGCTCAGCGGTTAGAGCGTCGGCCTGTGGACCAGAGAGACCCGGTTCGGTTCCCGCTAAGGGCACGTACCTCGTACCTTGGTTGCAATTTGTCCCCAGCCCCCGTTGGGGTCATGTGGGTGGCAGCCAGTCTATGTGTCTCTCTCACATCAATGTTTGTCTCTCTCTCTTCCTCCCTCTCTCCTTCCCGCTCTATCTGAAGATGAATGCAAAAAGTGAGGATTAAAAAAAAAGAATGATGGTAACTCAGCTGGCCTCATTTACCACGGGAGAGGGGGTACTCAAAGAATGGGATCTGGAAAAGATGAAAGCTGGGAGGAGTCAGTCTGGGATCTGCAGTATGTAGTACTCACCTTCAAGCTTATAATATCTCTCTGGGTGTGGCTATGACTGTGGAGAGAGAGTAGAACTGTTTAGTAGATTCCAGAATTTCAGACTAAAGACATTTCTTGATCTTGGAATCTCAAGGAATTAGCTCTAGAGTAAGTTTTAACTTCATGGGGGGAAATATCACCTGAGACAAGACTGGAGGAAGGGGAAAAGGAGTCCTATGGGACTTTGGAGCATATCTCCTGGCTTTGTACTTGGTCATGGGAGCTGGTCAGGCCTTGTCACAGCCTGTGCCTTGGTTCCTTATCACAGATCAAACCTGAGCTGGAGAGACTCAATTCTGAATACTTTGGGTTCAGAAAGACCTGGTGAGGTAAAGAGTGGGAGAGTGCTTACATCGCTGAATAATATACTTCCTGCTAGTCATTATGCCAAATCTTTTGCATAGGTTTATCTCCTTCTGGTCACTCCTCAAGGTGGTCCTTACCTCTTTCTTACAGATAAAAAACCAGGGCTCAGCTACAGCACTCTGCATGAAGTCACTAGCACCAAACATACATTCTTTCCTCACCACATAATTGTACTTCTTAGATCAAGGAAACTCTTGGTCTCATTAAGTTCCATGTAGCCAGGATAAGGCTAAGTGAGTTTCAGAAGAGTTTTGGCCAATAACAAAGTAGTAGACTGGGTTGTAATTGAAAGAACACTGGATCCAGAGTCAGCGGTGATGGGTTTGAATCTTGGTTGCCACCTACTAAGCATGTGGAGATAATAACACCTTCTTCCCAAGGTCATGAAAGATTTAAGCTGATGCACATAAAGGTGCTTTGTAGGCTGTAAAGGTATGAGGGGCTACTGCCATCATTGTCTTCTTTCAAATAAAGGGGCACTATTTACATATATCAACAGCAGTATACGAGTTGGATTTAGTGGTGGGGTTTCAGAAAACTATACACCACATCCTTGTACAGGCTGCCCTTTGGGAGAGAGAATACAGCCAACCTTGACTGACTGTGGTTCTAGGGGCCAGTGTGAGGATGGCTCACAATCGTTGCCCCACTGCAATGTAGAAACCACAGATAATTAGAAAATCTTACTTCTGGACCATATTTCCAATTTCATTTCATCCATGTTATTCGGGACTACTAAAAATAAGCAAAATGCCCTGGCTGGGGTTTCACCTTTTTTTCTCCTTCCATCCACTGGCAAAACACACATAGAACAGAAGAAAGTATATAAAAGACCCAAACGATCCAGCAAAGGCGTAGTGGTCCTGGACAATCTAGAATGGGCTGCAGTTTGCATTTACTCAACAATTTACCTGACATTCCCAGCTGAGATTCCCCCATGAGACTTATACTTCCCTTTCCTGGCAACCCACCCCATAGGCCCAAGACATTTGGCTTAAATAATTTTAGCCCAAAGCTGTATTACAAAGGAGTGATCTTGGCGGAGCCTCAAACCACAAGGTCTGGCTTGGTTTCCTGAGGGATTGCCCTGTCTTCATCTTCCTCTGATGTCAGACTCAAGCACTGCAGACACAGTGGTGTGTCATTCCCAGGTTCTCCTTCATGCCACATCCTCTGTGGCCTCTCTGTGGCATTTGGCAGGGCTCACCACTCTCCTTTGTTTCAGGGACTTTGTTTTCAGCCTTCTGCTCTTCTCTCATATACTCTTTTTTAAATTATTAGGTCTCCCAGAGTCAGGGAGGCTTCGTGGTCAAGTCTTCTTCCTAAGAGATCTAGCTTTGCATCATGGTTCTTCCTAGTCATTGGACTTTGAATAAATCACTGTTATTTGCTGAACCTTAGTTTCTTCATCTGTAAAATTTCAATAAAACCATCCCCCTGAGTGGTTTCCATTCTGACTACTCATTAGAAGCACCTGGGAACTTAAATTCAGATGCTTAGGCCTTATTCCACACCCACTGAACCTAGGTTTAAGAACCCTTGATATAGCTCTCAGGAGATTCTGTGAAGTTTAAATGAGATTATGTATACAAAGAGGGGGTATCACAGTGCCTGCTATGCCCATGCTTAGTAAATGATAGCTATTAGGAGTATCACCTTCTTATTTTATCTATTCAATAAATATTTACTGAGTGCAAGGCACTGGACTAGGTGCTAGGAATAACGTAGATGTGGACTCTGCCTCCATGAGATTGGCAGTCTAGCAAGAGAATCAGAGGTTACAACACTAATTACACAGTTAATTGTTAATTATAATTTTGATAAGTGCTCTGAAGGAGAGTACACATTTCTGTGGGGCATATAACAAAAGGCCTGACCTATGCTGATGATTCCAAAATCCCTTTTTCCAATTTCCAACCCTTGTTGGATATCTCTTCATGAATGCTTGCTGGTCTTCAAATACTTTATATCCAAGAGTGAATTTATCATCTTCATCTAGCCCCTCCACTCCAGCCCACTTCTTGGTCTTGACTTTTCTTTCTCATCCCTGTTCCTCTGCTGGTGCAATTATTTCTTCCTGGAATTTTCTCCTCTGCCCCTACTACAACTGTTGAATTTTTTTTTTTTTTTTTTTTTTTTTATCCTTACCCGAGGACATTCTCCCATCTTTTGTTCAGATAGAGTGGGAGAGAGAGAGAGAAACATTGACGTGAAAGGGACACATCGAGTAGCCGCCACCCGCACGACCCAACCAGGGCCGGGGACAAACTGCAACCGAGGTATGCGCCCTCAGCGGGAACCGAACCCATGTCTCTCTGGACCGCAGGCCGAAGCTCTAACTGCTGAGCCAAACCGGCCAGGGCAACTGTTGAAATTTTTAAGATTCAAATGCCACTTCCTCCATGAAGCTTCTCCTGCTATTTCCAAAGTAAAGTGATCCTTCCCTCCCATGAATTCTTCTCTTCCTACCCATAGCTATACGTGGCTTATAGTTATCTAGTATTTTCTGCTATAATTATTTGTGTGCTTCTCTAAACTGAACTGGAAGCTTCTAGATAAAAGTTCTCCTACATCTATGTATCTCTCTCAGCATCTACCATAGTGTTAAACACATGTGAGGTGACAAAAAATATGGTTGAAATCTTTTGGGGAAAAATCTTTGGTATGACACCAAAGGTGCGATCCATCAAAACAATGAATAAATTTGACTTCATAAAAATGAAAAAAATCGTTTGCTTTGTAAAAGACCCCGTTGAGAAGATGAAAAGACAAACCACATGCTAGGAGAAAATATTTGCAAATTGCATATCCAACAAAGGATTTGTATCCATAATATATAAATAATTCTAAACACAGCAGTAAGAAAACAAATATTTCAATTAGAAAATGGGTAAAAGACTTGAACAGATAGTTTACCAAAAGGGATATAAAAATTTCAAATAAGCATATGAAAATATGTTTGACATCACCAACCTTCAGGGAAATACGAATTAAAACTATAGTACTGGCCAGTTTTGCTCAGTGGTTTAGAGTATCAGCCCACAGACTGAAGCCTTGCAGGCTCCATTCCCAGTTACATACCTGAGTTGCAGGTTCAATCCCAGGCCCCGGTCAGGTCCCTGCAGGAGGCAAACAATTGATTTTTCCCTCTCACATCAATGTTTCTCTCTCCCTCCCACTCCCTCCCTTTCACTCTACCCAAAACTCAATGGAAAAATATTTTGGGGTGAGGATTAACAACAACAACAACAAAACTACAATGATATGCTCTATATACCTACTAGAGTGGCTGAAAAATGTTGACAATACCAAGTGCTTACAAGGATTCAGAGCATCTGGATCTCTTATCTGTTGCTGGTGGGATTATAAAATGGTACAGCTACTCTGGAAAACACTTTGGCAATTTTTATAAAGTAAAACATACATTTACTGTATGATTCAGTAATCTATCTCCCAGCTCAGTAGTTAGCCTGAAAAAAGAAAACCTATGTTTACATAAAAATCTGTGAGTGTTCAAGCAGCTTTCTTTAACCATATATATATATATATATATATATATATATATATCCTCACCAGAGGACATTTTTGCATTTATCTTCAGATAGAGCAGGAGAAAGAGAGGGGGGAAGAGAGAGAGAGAAACATCGACATGAGAGAGACACATCGAGTGGCTGCCACCCACATGACCCCAACTGGGGCCGGGGACAAACCGCAACCGAGGTACATGCCCTTAGTGGGAACTGAACCCAGGACGCTCTGGTCCGCAGGCCGACGCTCTAACCGCTGAGCCAAACCAGCCAGGGCCAAGCAGCTTTCTTTATAATGGACAAAAATAGTAAACAACCCAAATGTCCTTCAACAAGTGAATGGGTAAACAAATTGTGATACATCCAGTATTAAAAACAATGAACGATTCTCTAGTACACTGCTGGTGGGAATGCAGACTGGTGCAGCCACTATGGAAAATACTATGGTGTTACCTCAAAAAATCAAAAACTGAATTGCCATTTGATCCAGTGATCCCACTTCTAGGACTATAACCTAAGAAGCCTGAAACACCAATCAGAAAGAATATATGTACTCCCATTTTCATAGCAGCACTATTTACAATAGCTAAGATCTGGAAACAGCCCAAGTGTCCATCAGTAGACAAATGTATAAAAAAGTGGTGGTACATATACACAATGGAGTACTATGCAGATGTAAGAAAGATCTCTTATCCTTTGAGACGATATGAAGGGACTTGGAAAGTATTATCCTAAGCGAAACAAGCAAAGCAGAGAAAGACAAATATCACATGATCTCACTTATTTGTGGAATATAATGAACACAACAGTCTGAAGAATAGGGTAGACCCAGAGACGTGGAAGTAGGGTACAGACTGACAACCATCAGAAGAGGGAGTGGTGGGGGGAAGGAAGAGATAAACCACAGAACTTATATGCATGTACACATAACCAATGGACATGGACAACAAAGCTGGTTATGGGGTAGGGGGATGGAGAGGAGGGTGTCAATGGGGAAAAAAAGGAGAAACATCTGTAACAAAAATAAATTAATAAAAAGTTAAAAAAAAATGAACGATTGATGAATATTTGGAAAAACTTGGATGAATTGCAAAGGCATTACACTGAGTGAATAAACTAATCTCAGCCCTGGCCAGGCGGTTTAGTTGGTTAGAGCATCATCCTGTACACCAAAAGGTTTCAGGTTCAATTCCTGGTCAGGGCACATACCTAGATATCGGGTATGATTCCTGGTCGAGGTATTTATGGGCAGCAACCGATTAATGTTTCTCTCTCTCTCTCTCTCTCTCCCTCTCTCTCCGTCTTTCTCTCTCTCTCTAAAAATCAATAGAAACATTCCCTTGGGTGAGGATTAAAATAATAATCAGCCCTGGCTGGTTTGGCTCAGCAGTTGGAGCATCGACCTGTGGACCACAGAGTCCCGGGTTTAGTTCCTGCTAGGCCCTGCTACGGGCATGTACCAAAAAATAAATAAATAAAAAATAATCATCATCATCATCATTATTATCTCAGCATGTTATGTATTATGTACTCCATGTGTAACATTCTAGAAATGACAAAATTATAGTGAGAGAGGACATATCAATGGTTGATGAGTTAGGGTTGTAGAGAGGATATGACTATAAGGGGGTAACATAAGGAGTTTTTTGTGTGTGGTGATGAACAGTTCTTTTACTCAAATCTATACATGTGATAAAATTTATAGAGCAAGAGAAACCTAGTACAATCCAAATTCACATAAGGTATGTAGTTGAATTCATTTGTTGTATCAGTGTCATTTTGATAATGTATTATGGTTATGTAAAATGTTATCATGGAGAGAGAGCTGGGTGAATGGTACCTGGGAACTTTCTGTACTATTTTTGCAACTTGTATTAAACTATTTCAAAGTAAGAAACAGTTCTTTGAAAAAAAAATATTTATTTATAAAATCTGTATATATGTATGTATATAAATAGGCAAATGTTCTTTGGAGTTACACACTGAAGTATTTATTTATTATTATTATTTTTTAAATTAATCCTCACCAAGGATATTTTTTCCATTGATTTTTAGGTAGAGTGGAAGGGAGGGAGGGGAGAGCAAGAGAGAGAAACATCGATGTGAGAGAGACACATTGATTGGCTGCCTCCAGCATGACCCTGATTGGGGCTGGGGATCAAACCTGCAACCCAGGTACTTGCATTTGACCGGGAATTGAACCCACAACCCTTTGGTCCTTGGGGAAACACTCTAACCACTGAACCAAACTGGCCAGGGCCATACTGGCCTATTTAGAGTTGCAATATTGTGGTTTATATAACTTACTCTCAGATGTGTTGGTAAAAACAATGCACACACATAGAGAGGGAGGAAGTAAAGCAAATGTGGCAAAAAATTAACAGTGAATACAGGTGTTTATTGTCCTTGTCTTGTAACTTTTCTCTAGGTTTGAAATTTTCAAAATAAAAAGTTAGGAAAACTTACTAAGATATAAGTAGATAAGTAAATAGGTAAAGTAAGCCAAAAAGAAACATCACCCAAATCTGGTATTGAACCAATGACCTTCAGTCTAACACTCTTCCAGCTTCAACTGACTGTGAAGTCTTCTCACCCCTCTTTCCTGCCCAACAGTAGAAAAATTCTACTTGTTCTGAAGTATTAGAATAAAGTCAGAATTCATTCTCTGTTGGGAGTATTTTTAAGCCAATTATTTTATTGGGGAGACAGATTACTCAAATGTTAATTGGTTATAGACAAAGGAAAGAAACATATTAAAGTCAGGTGTGTTGGTAAAGGAATCAGAGTACTAAAGCCTCTGCCCAACACATATTCTGAATCCAGGTTTTGTATTTCTCCAAGGCTCAATTTGTCACAGGTCACTATTCAAAAGATTCTGGAGACCAAATGAGATAGGATTCTTTCAGTTATCAACCAAGAGTCTTCAGGTCTTCTCTCAGCCAAGGCATCCAGTGAAAGTATAATTTATGTTTCAGATTCCTCTGGAGGATTATGAAGTCTCTTTCGCATTGCATTGCCATGCTCCCTGCTCTTGGTCCTTTTTTCCATGTAGTCATTCTTGAAGCATTTTCTCATCTTCCATTCAAGATCATTGCAATAACCAAAAAAATTCATAATGCTGTGACCATACACAAGAATAAACTCAAAATGGATAAAAGACTCAAATCTAACCCATGAAACCATAAAAATTCAAGAAGAAAATGGAGGCAGCAAAATCCCAGACATCACATGTAGCAGAATTTTCACCAATACATCATATTTTTGTGACATTCCTTAAGTAGGTTAATCAAGATGTTGCATTCTTCAGTGTGCAAGTGTGGAGATAAGTCAAGATGCATCTTTAGGAGGTGATGGAGTATGGCAGAGCAACCAACTCACAGCCACACCAGGGAGGCTGAAGTGGAATTCACCCAGGGAGGCTCCTCACCCCAAGACTGCCTTGCCTGGGCACCAGAGCCAGGGCAGCTCCTGGTAGAGAACATCCCTACACCTCCCACAGCTGACCCACTTACCCCTGTTGGGAGTATTTTTTTTTTTTTTTTTTGTGGTACGTGCCCCTAGCAGGAACCGAACCCGGGACTCTCTGGTCCGCAGGCCGATGCTCGACCACTGAGCCATACTGGCCAGGGCCTGTTGGGAGTATTTTAAGTGCTATTGCAAGTTCTTGATGTTACCATAGTCATCTAAGGGACATTTACTGAACCCTGGCTACATGCCGGCTGCTGGAATTACCATAATAAAGATAGAAGAGATAAAAAGTCTCACTTTCTCAGATTAATTTAAATTTTTATAACTGTAGAATCATATGCATTTTATATACTGTTTTTGAACTTTCTTTTTTCACTTTGTAAATTGTAGCCATTTCCCCATATCAGTAAGATAGACCTGTATATTTATTTTTACAGTTTAGTGCAGTGTTCAGTTGTATGGATGTACCTCAATTTGTTAAATCAGTCTCTTGTTGGACTTTGTGTTATTTCTAATTTTTCCCTTTTAAAAATACCCTAACCCTGGCCAGCGTGGTCAATTGGTTCAGTGTCATCCATCTGGTGCACCAAGAGGTCACTGGTTGGATTCCCAGTCAAGGGTCAGGGCACATGCTTGGTATTGGGCTCCATCCTCAGTAGGGGGCATGCAGGAGGCAGCCCATTAATGTTTTTCTCTCTCATGGATGTTTCCATCTCCTTTCCTCTCTCTATAATCAATAAAAACATATATTTTTTAAAAATTTAATTTTTAAAAAAGAAAATGTATTATCTGAGTGAAATCCAGATTTAATCTCTACTTTGCCTTAATCAACCAACATTTATTGAATGCCTACTGTGTGTTTGATGTTCTTTTTGTGAGAGGAGACATGAGACATGGTCACTACCCGCAAAGGGGCTTAGGATTAGTTGAAGAGTTATGGCTAACTTGAGGTTCTAACTTAAGGACCACTATAAAGCAGTATGTAGTTGATTGCACACCATATATGCTAAACACTCAGAGGGAAGCCCATCCCTGTTATGTGACAAGTTTTAGATTACTTATTTTTTCTTCCTAGTTTTTTGTTTGTTTGTTTTTGTTAATCCTCACTCAAGGATATTTTTCCATTGATCTTTAGAGAGAGTGGGAGGGAGGGAGGGGCAGAGATAGAGGGAAACATCAATGTAAGAGAGACATACCGATTGGTTGCCTCCCGCATGACCCTGACTGGGGCCAGGGATCAAACCTGGAAACTGGCCAGGGCTCTATCAAGCTTCTTTAGCTTTCACTAAAAGATGCTTGCATGAGCATATCAGCAAGGCAAGTGGGAGAGGATCATGGCTCAAACTTTCTTGGGAAGGGGATGATTTTTAAAAAGACATATGAGTCCAGCCGGTGTGGCTCAGTTGATTGGTGATACATCAATCTATGTGGGGGTAGTTTTGCTCATAAGTTTGTGTTTACACAGTTTAGCATTGTGTTGTTTTATGCATAGCCTTTTCTCTCCTTTCACTTGGTCCATATTTTTTCTTAGGGCATTTCAGGTTTCTTGATGACCATTTCTATTCAAAAATAAAATCAAAACAAAAGTTTCTATGTTTTGGCCCTAGCATTCCATCTGTGATTAAGCTTATCCAGGAGGCTCTATGTATCTGTGTGCTTCTCTCTCCTTCTTTTAGCCTTCCATGAATTATCTCTTCATTCACCTCTCCGAAATCCAAAATTAAGCTGAATTGGAGTTGCCAGGGCTCCTGGATTAGGAGAAACAGGAAGGCTTGCCAGCTCAGTAACATTTCAGAACCCTGGACAGCTCCCCAGGCTTCCTAGAGTGAGTGCCTGCTTTTTAGACTTCACAAAATGTCTTCTTGGTAAAGTCTAAAAAGCAGACTTTTGCTGACCCCAGAGAAAAGATTCCAGTCAGCAAATATTTCAGGATTATTAACTGTCTGGCTTTAGGGGTAGAAAGAGCACAGAGGATTCCCTTTTTCTCAGCGTTTGCTCCACCTGCCAAAGCCAAAAAAAAAAAAAAAAAAAAAAAACCTCTTCAGTTCAACTCAGTAAATTTATGTGGATTGGGCTTTTCCCTCCCTGGAAAGAGGAACTGCCTAAATAGGTATACTCTGAGAAGGGGAACAAAGAAACTCCAGTTTGAATGAGAAAATAATCTCTTCTAAGGGGTGGTTTTCATGTGGACTAGAGGAGAGAGCACCAGACCATTGGGGGCCCAAAAGGGGCAGGAAAGGGGATGAGAGGATGGAGTGGAGAAGACGAGCATTCAAGAAAGTCTGGGGTCTCTGAAGTCATAGGAAGTGAGCTTTGTATTGTTCATACAAGTATGCCCTGAGCACAGGCAAAGGAGAAGCCTCATATTTTCCTAAAATGGGAGTACAGAGGCTTAATGTCTCCTCTTCCATATACACATAGCAAGAGTAGCTAGACTCATTTTCAAAACATATACATATATATAATGATTCAAAATACTTGGTCTTTGTTGCTCACAACAAACTTAAGGTTTTATTATCTTCATTTTCTAAGTGAATAAACTGAGACACTGAGAGGCTGGGTAACTTACCTAAAGTGTCACAGCTACAAAACAGCAGAGCTGAGTCTTGAACCCAGCTTCTCTGCTCCAAGCTGGTATTCTTTCCATCATACTATATCCATAATGGAGTCTTTGTGTGTGTGGTGAAATATATATAACATGATTTTTATTTTAACCATCTAAAAGTGTACAATTCAGGCCAGACCAGTGTGTCTCAGTGGTTGAGCCTCAACCCGTGCACCAAGAGGTTGCCAGTTCAATTCCTGGTCAGGGCACATGCCCAGGTTGTAGGCCAAATCCCCAGTGGGGGGCATGCAGGAAGCGGCCAATCGATGTTCTCTCTCATCAATGTTTCTATCTCTCTCTTTCTCTCTCTTCTTCTCTCTCTAAAGTCAATAAAGAAAAAAATATATATTTTAAAATGTTGTATAATCATTACTAATATTTATTTTTTAAACTTTTGTGTCACCTCAAACAGAAACTCTTTATACGTTAATAACTCCCCAGTCCCCCAGCCCCTGGTTTGGTCTTGACAATTTTGGGTACCTCATGTAAGTAGAATCCTACAATATTTGTTTTTTTGTGCCTGGCTTATTTTATTTAGCATAATGTTTTCAAGGGTCATTTATTAGAACTTAATTTCTTTTTAGGTTCTGTTGGGGTGTTGTGGTTGCAAAGGACAGAGATTCTCTCAGGCCACCAAAAGTAATGAGGGGGTATTGTAAGCAATCTTGTCAAATTAAGAAAGACAGACATTTCAGCCACATGGCTAGATGTTCAGAAATAGCCATATGGCTGGACTTATTGTAACTTAAATACAGTTTGGAATCTGATCAGCACCGCTCTAGGGACTAAAATATCTCATTGCCCCCTTTGTGGCACAAATTTGCTGTTTTCAGATAGTCGATCATTTTGCCAACTTAGTGATATTTTGCTTTCACAGCTCCTGTAAGGTTTGGCATTACCAACCACCTACCTCTTTTTCTATCAAAAACAACTCGTAGGCTTTCCCTGACTCAAGCTTTCCATAATTTCAATAATGTGCTATCTTTTCTCCCTCTGTGTCCTTCATCTCCTGCACCCACTGTCAACTGACAAACTCTCTCCAAAAATCTGATTCTTTGTTCTGATTGACCTGGTTGATTGCCAGTCATCTCATATCATACCACCTTATAAGCCACCTGCATTATTAGAAATCAGCTGCCCTTTATTCAAGCATCGTTCTCTGCTCCAATCAGTTATGGTCAGGGTGATAAGTCACATGCTATAGAATATAGCTCTTAATGGTAAAGACCTGCCTTTTTGGGAGGACGTTGGGAGTCTGACAGGCAGGCAGCCAGTTATTGACTTCAATCCTCTACATCAGCTCTGCCACACAGTGCTATGAGGCTGTCTATTGTAATTTAACCCTATGGCCTATATCTGCTTCTGTGATTCACAAGAGCAGAGGTGTGTATATGTCTGAGTTGCGTATTGTGCAGATATTTCTGCATGTATTTTTAGATTATACAGGTGATTGCCATATGATGGTATGTAGTCTGGAGTTGCTTGAAATCCCCAGCTTAACATCAAGCTGCCTACTTACAGTTTCTGAATGGGGTTGTATCTCTTAAGAATGAAAATCAATTTTTAGTTCTCTCGCTAAGTCTGCAGTAACAGGAAAATATTCAGAACATAGGGTACACTGAGGTGTTAATAAATCCATGAAGTGGTTCCATTTCCTGTAAGCATAGGAAAAAGGACTGGATTTTTGGAAACAGGCCATTTTTAGTTCTGTGACTATGACAGAGGATATAGTGCTCACCAAATAGTACATAAATATCTCATACCCACTTTCTTCCTGCTACATTTCCCAGCCTCCCTTGTAATTAGGTTGGGGCATGAGACTAATTCTGCTCACGGGGCTGTGAGAATAAGTGATACATGTTCTCTACACTTTATCTTCCTGGGAGTTATGAGTTGAATTGGTAGAACCCACAATATAGAAGCAGACTGGATCCCTGAGTCATCATTAGGAATGATGCTGTCCTCGGGAGTCTCCTGGCCTGCAGAGGACTTTTTGTGAGTAGGAAATAAACCTCTATGGTTTAGGCCCTGGTTATTGGGGTTTGGTGTGACTGTTACTGCAGCATGGCCTAGAGTCACCCTGATTAGTATAGTTACTAGCTAAAACTGTGAGCTTGGGCAAATAACAGTGTCTTCAGTCCTCATTTTCTTTTGAAACATAAGAGTTTCCCCAGATAATTTCAAAGGTTACCTTCTAAGATTCTCTGATTCCTAATTGACCATTTCCTCTTTACTTTTCTGGGCAAGGTTTTTGTCCACTTCTTT